CAACTGCTTTCAGTCATTCCTTCCTCATACGTTCATCCAGTCTCTGGAATTCCCCTTCCTCACTCTATCCATAATCCCTTCTCTTCCCACCTTTAAGTCCCGTCCATTTGATTACCTCTTGTCATTGCAACTTAACAACAGCCCTAATTGATAAATTGTTATTAAATAATCTGTATTATTAAACATAATTGTATTTTTTAATTTTATGCACGACATTTTTAGTATATGTTTAAAATATATACATACATTTTGTAATTGTATTTTGTAACCTTGTAATTGTATTTGTTCATTTGTATTATGGTTGAACATGAGTCTAGATACAGCTCTATTATGTAGATTTATTATCGGGGGGGGGGGCTCTCCCAGAATATAGTTAGTTTTCCTCTTCTTTCTTCTCAATGTTCAATTTTTTTGGGCCTAACTGGAACTGTTAATCTGATTGTTTCTATTTCGTTGGCTTTTAAATTTAAATAATTTATGTTTTGTAGTTCGAAGACAAATGGGTCGCTTATTAAGTAGTTAGTATTATGATAACTCATCTCTCAAATTGTTTTCCTTAGTTATTGGTTGTTTTGTGTATGAGAACAAATTATGCCTAATTTCCTCTATAATTATTAGTACTCTTTATACACAACAAGATAGTTCTTACACACAAATTTGTTGTTTACGGCGATCTGGATATTAAGCATTAAATGCTCATCATCAGGTAGAAAGAGTAAATAACCTATACAATATTTATTAGGAGAATATTTAGTTGTGTTGTAATTCACATCTTTCGCACATTGAGCAGCATTAAGAACCAGCTTCATATTGAACATCATGTTCACGATGGATCCCTCTTACAATTCATGTCGAGAGACATGTTTGTAACTCCTTCAAACTGTTGATTAGCGTTTAATGCAATATCTGGATTATTGTAAAACAAATCTGTGAGTAATAGGAAAGATTAATACCCATATTCACCCCACCTTCATAATTTCTACTCTTTAAACACGTCTTTGTAATTAGAACGGTTATATTACTTCATTTAAACAGTAATTTTGTATTCTAATTTCGACGAGTGCATTAAATAAAAAAAATCCACGAATGTCTATGAATGTCAAACTGTAGTTGAAATAGTCAAAAGATGGAATTGCTTGTTTTTTACCCTTTAAAGCACCCAAATGCACAAAAATGTTATGCTTTGTATAGTCGATAGTTATTCTTTTCAAAGAAATTTTTAAGTGCTTAATGCTTAGGGATGGTTAGGGCTTAATGCTTAATGCTTGGAATGCAAGTTTTACCATAATAACCATGACAATGTTACATACTCCATATTACATATTTTTAGGATAGTGAAACATTAAGAAACTAGAAGCAGTATTAAATGTTATGCATTTTTTATTTTTCTATTATTTGTTAAGGTAAAAATATCAATTAGTCTACTAGTTATCAAAACAAAAATTATTTTGAATTAACTGTAGGTCAAATAGCATCCAACAACCTCAAAATATCAACTAACAAAAAGTTCGTTTTATCTTAAAATTGATTAGCATAACAAACTTGCATTGTTTTCGCCGTCAGTTGAAGTGGCTTTTAACGATAATGCAATTAAGCAATTATCTAATAAAATTATAGCTTGCACCAAACCACACACCAAACATCTTCTAGCTTGCAGAAACTATTCCATAAATCTTAAAAAAGTTATCAAATTTATTGACTTTACTCAACAGTTGTCGGAAATGTTAGTTTATGCTCCACTGGAAAACAAACAGCATATATTTAATTTTTTTCCAGTTCTAATTCTCTAGGTGACTAGATTATCTTGTTATGTAAATTATATTATTATGATATACACTCTTTTAAATAAATAAATAAGCTAGCAGCCTTGTTTGTTCAGGATCTTTAGTTAAAGTCCTCCCAATATTCCCCTGTTAAATCTGGTGTTAGACAGGGATGCGTCCTCAGCCCCTTGTTGTTTCCCTCTTCATAAACGACTTTTCTGATAGCCTAGACTTTGGTATTTGCTGCTCTAATGTCTTAATTAGAGACGATGCAGTCATCCTAGCTTGTGTTTACCATGCTAGCAGTTTGGATTCAAATCCCAGCAGAGCCCATGGGTTTTTAATTGATTATAGTGTGAAATAAGTATTAAAAAGAGGTTTAACATCTTGTCTGCAACACCCAGAGGGTAGATAGTTTAGCCTTCCTGACAGGAATTACTTTTCTTACATTTACTCACTCTAACTGCATACTCTATTTGAAAACATCAACAGATCACTCTGCTTGTATAGTGCATCATCTCTGCATAAGTGGATTATGTCTTACATGGATTAGGCTAATGGTTTGGGATGAGTGGTTTTTTGTGGAACCTGGAAAATTTGGTGGGGATTAATTTATTTTTTATTTTGAGGTCTTGTGAAGGGTGGCATTGGAGACATAGTATGGAGCGTTGATTATGATTCTGAGGACTTTGGATTGGAAGAACTGAATTCATTGGATATTGGTTTAGTGTTGCCCCTTAGTTCCAGTCTATATGCCTTAATTGGTTTAAGTCGTGTTTTGAAGAATGTCAGTTTGTTTTTTGATGACATATTATATTTGTGTCCAATAAGTAAGTAGAGTAATCCAAAGCGTCTGCTCAGTTCCTAATTTTTTATTTGTATGTGTCGGTTCTAGGTTAAACATGAGTCAAGATTGAACCCAAGGTCGGTTTTAGTAATAGGAATCTTCTTATGAGGGGTTTTGGTTCAGAGAGTAAATATAAGAGTACATTTGTTTTCGTTCCTCCAAAGTTTGCTCCATTCTGCTATTTCATTAGACATGTGCCTGGAGCTCTTCTGAGGCATTTGCAGGATTGGTATTAGAGGAAAGCACAGCTGTGTCATCGGCAAAGGATGCAAGAAGGGTGGAGGAGGTACAGGATTGGTTCGAGCAAACTGCCCTAAGGCTAGTTGGAGTAATCTGACCCTTGGCGAACTTGGAAGAACCATCCTGTGAGGTAGGAGTGAAGGATTAGGTAGGTGTTTAGAAACACGCTTTGGTCTGAATAGGAGACATAATTCACACCATACGTAGACGATGCTTGTGACATGTCTAAGAAGGTTCTTCACTCAAAAGATGAGTATATTATAGATGAGTGTTATTTAAAGATAGTATACCACATGGTCTACAACTGCTGGTTTGTGGCGGGTTAAGAGTAAAAGCCAGATTGGTGGTCTGGGTTGAAAGAATTAAGTGTAGGGATCAATTGTTTTAGGAGGATCTTCTCGAATATTTTTGAGACGAGAGGGAGCAGGCTAATTGGTTGGTAGGAAGATGCATTATGGACAGATTTTCCAGGACTGGGGAACAATTTAATTAATTTATTTTAATTAAAGTTTAATATTTAGGAGCCCTATTTATCTAAATTTTATTTTGATTTTTTTGTATGTGTATTATCCTATTGTTTGAGTGAATCCCTCAGCCTCCACTTCCAGCAGACAGTTTTTATATATTATGAGCTGAAGAAGAATTTATTTATTATTATGTTGTATTTTCTTTTTATAAATTCAAATACAATTTAATTTAAAGTCTATATAAATATCTGCTCAATGCAAATATCAAATAATTGTGAAATTTCAAGCCAGACAATTTTACAGCACACATGTTACAAATATGTCACATAACATCCTGCTACTTTTAAGACCAATTAGGGTCATCAATATTCACACTTACAAGATTGATCTTTAATTATAAATTAACTACCATATCATTTCTCGTTAGTTATTAAATGTTTAATTGATTCTGGTCAGTTACAGTGTCTTAGTTGGTTTGTTTGTGTTTTATACCTTTGCAAAGTTTGAATGAAAGTCATAATGATGATTACCATTCTGCCTCAGTATTATTTTAATGTTTTTTTAGTGACTGGTTGTTTAATAATTTGTTGGATTGGATCGTGAGGAACGGTCAAGAATAGGTAGTTCAGAAAAACACTTTTTTCATTTTTTGCTGATGTTTCGACTTTTATTTGGGTCATCTTCAGGGCATAAAGTGTCAACAATTTCACACAACACCAATATGACACCACAAGAATAGTGCCACACTTTATGTCCTGAAGATGACCCGAATAAAGGGCAAAACATCGGGGGGGGGGTGTATTTTTTTGAATTACCTCATTCTTGACCGCTCCTCACGAATCCAATAAATTATTTTAATATTACAAAAGTTAAGACTTGAATATTCCTTATACTTGCCTCTCTTTTCTAGTATGCTGCCCTCTGTTTATTTCCAGTGTATTTTTTCAGGAATCTTGGGATCTTGAACAGACAACCTGGGACTCAGCACACCCAGATTTCCCAGGGGACTCACTGGCTAGGTTGAAGATAAACATCTAATGAACTTTATATGTTTAATCTTTAGTGATGATATCCTTCCTACAGTCGGCAATACTTTCTTGGCTTCTTCCTGTATCTTTCCATTCCCTTATCTCTCAGATTCTCTGTACACTCCCATCAGACTCGTTACTGCTCTTCTGACCTCTATCCCCCTGAAGACAACTGCTAATTTCAGTCATTTTTTCCTAGGAATTCATTTCCTAGGCTCAAACGGAATCAGTATGAACACTCCCGTCTTCTCTACATTATTTTATGTTTTATGTTCCTGGATCGAATAATTAAATTGACCTTCTAAGATGCTTTCCTATGGGATTACTTATGTTTTTAGACCTGTTGAAAATAACAATGAATTTGTTGTTAAAATAAATTATTTGTTATTAACAGTATTCTGTTAATCTTAAAAATAACAATTTTTTTTAAAAATTAGTTTGACGCATTTCTGGTTTCCCATTTTTGGACATAGCACTTAATAGAACATACAGATTATTTGCACTTCTTTTTTTGTTTTGGATTGATATGTAAAATAATTACAGCTCCTTATAGCACGATTTAGTCGAAGCAAGTTAGCTGGCACATGACAATGTTTATGCAATTTAAATTTTTATAAATGGTTTAAATGTGTTCAAGTTCAATTTTCTGTTTTAGGCTTAACCACCAAAATATTGTACAACTGCTGGAAACTTATGAAGACAGGCAAAAGGTTTATCTTATTATGGAGCTGTAAGTTGTCAAAAAAGTCGCGTTTTTACGCATGAAATATAAAAATTGTTTCGTTCAACAGAGTAACAGGAGGAGAATTGTTTGACCGGATCGTCGAAAAAGGATCTTACACAGAGAAAGATGCATCTGATCTAATAAGACAAGTTTTAGAGGCTGTAAATTATATGCATGAGCAGGGTGTTGTCCACAGAGATTTAAAGGTAAGCCATTTAACTAAAAGACGGTCAATGTAATAAAAGATTTAAACGCTATAATTTATGCAAGCCTATTTATGTTTTTCCTTCATCATTTGGGTCTTTGGAATTTCTCCCTTTAGTATTTTTCATCTATGGTACCAGTCTCTGTTAAAGGACTTCCTGGAAGATTTTCTTTTCTTTTATGTTGCAAAGGATTCTTCTCAGGGGTATATCTCTCAAAACCAGCTTTTCCAGGTACCATAGCCTTTTCCTAGTTATTGCAGAGCAATTATGTAGGATGTGTTCTCTCTGCCTTTTCCTGAAATAGTCGACACTTGTCATTTGTTGATGGTTCCTTTTTTTGAAGTTGGTATACTGGAGTCCTGTAAAGATACCAGCTAGAGTTTTTTCTATTAAGTTTTTTTCTTTTATTTTTATTTATTTTCTATTAAGTAGGATTTCCTCTTTCTCCCATTCTCGTTTTTGTGAGTAGTCTTTTTGCTTGCCTTATGCCTGGTTTTCGCTCCAGTATTTCTTGTGTTTGGATTGAAAGATGGTTGTGATGAGGCCAAGGGCTATGAGGTGCTCAAAGTTAGGCCCTTTATAATGCCTGTACTATTCTCATCTTTTAGCCATCTGTATACCATAGAAGAGCTCCAGGTTAGTCTTCTTTTGCTTTATTTTTCCAATTGGCTCTTTTCAATGATTATTTTGAATGGTTTCTCAAAGTCTAGCACTTTCTTTTATATGGTTAATCCATTATTTTTTCCCCGAAGATGCTTTATTTCCACTGCCCGATGAATTCTCAGTTCCTCTATCACCCTCACATACATAAGTGTGGTGGCAGGTTGAGTATGTTCCATTGTGGCTGGGTTGTTGTAATAGTACCGATGCTAATGCATGCAATTCTTTAGATTTTTAAATAGTTTCCTCTGCCTTTCTTTGTTCTTCAAATATAACTTGCATAGGCAATCATTGGTCTGAAAGCTTATTCATGTAGAATTTTTACATTATATTGCGTGACAAGACCTTCACAATTTTCTCCTTTTTTATTTTAAAGGGTCCCACTTTTTCTTCTTTCAGTCTTATTGGTCTCATTTTAACGTTTTACTTTATTGATTCATTTTGCAAACATGAATGCGGCTCATTTTACGCAGCATTAGTTTGACAATTATATGATTTTATATCAAAATTGTTGTTGTATTGTTAAAAGTACATAGTACATTTCCAGCTGCCGAAAACTAGTGTTTTTATCATTAGGTAGTAATAAGACCCCATGTATCCTATGGTCCCCCTAATCTAGTGGACCAAAGCTTAGCAAAAACAAGCTACCCAAACTTTAGTCAGCATACATAGACTGGCAAACCTGTGTATCACAGGTGCAATGACAACAACCCTGCCAATTGCACTAGAAGCACTGCTAAAATATCCTTTGGAAATAGTTATGCAAGGAGAAGCGAGGAAAAGCTCATTTAGGCTCCAGAACCAGTCAGACTGGATGGGAACTAAACACTTCGGGCATACAACAATAATTTGATGATCCTGGAAACGTAACACCATCCTATAAAATCTCAACAAAGTAGAAAAAGAATTATGGGGGAAATCAGATACAATATGGTATATAGATGGCTCCAAAATAAATGAAGGATCAGGCAGTTTCTGTACAAGCCCAAAATATGAATAATTAAACTCATTAGGGAAGTACTCTGTCTGAAATATATGCAATCAATTCTTGTGCGTTAGAAATTCTTAAAAGAGTAAAATCACACTGACAAAAAAATACTCATAAGATTGGATAGCCAGGCAAGCATTAGCATGTAAAAAAATCACATCAAAATTAATCAGTGAATGCATCCAAAATCTCCAAAACCTGGGGAAACTCAACAACTTGATAATATCTTTTGTACCAGGTTAGAAGGAAATTTTGGGTAATGAAAAGGCAGACAAACTGGCCAGAGATCTGCAAGACCATATGCCTTAAACCTATTCTTGGTGTAACAAAAATAAACGCAGTATCTTTCATCTCAATTTGGATCCAAAAAGATAAAAGGAGAAGTGACTGACCTATTACTCGCGAGAGAAGGATCGACTCGCTTGCACTGAACTAAAGAACTAGGAAAATACAATAAGCCAGAAGCACTGCACTTGGGGAACAAAAACCCCCCAACTTATGTTTTTACGTATTTTTATGAGATTCATCATCATCAAGATTTGAAAATGATGGCTGCCCTGGACAAGGGGTCAAACCACATTACAATACTTTTCCAATACAATTCAGCAAGTCCTAAAAATGGGTAGAAACCTACTTGACACATAAGAGTTCATTGAAGATAACTTTAACAGAACAAACGAAAGAAAATATACTCCCTGACTTTGAGGTTACTTTAGACCTTTAGAATAGGAAAAATCTATTTATAAGATTAATTTATTAATTATTCTTTTATTAATAATTTTTAAAATTGAATTGTTAATAATTTTAAACGGTGTTTTTTCTCTTTCACCCTAATATTTAGTTTCCTTTTAGTACTGTTGAAAATTATTGGAACTTCTGCACTATCTTTTTTTTCAACACTGGCCGAACTACATTTTTATCAGAATGCACTTAACTTTAAAGTTTGGAAGTAAGTCCTGGATGTTTTTGTGAAAAAATGACTAATATAGTTTGACTAAATATTCAATTTTCTGTTTAAAGTAACAATTGTTTTTAAGCTCACATTGGTTGTAGGATATAACAGTGTCCTTTTTTTTAAATTAATTTAATTATAAAAGTGTGAGATGGTGATGACCTTTATTTAACAAAGTGTAAAATTATAATGAATCACTACTATATGGCAAGTTTTTAGTTTTGATAGTGTGATTAGGGTTTTTTATTTAAAATATGTGTCTAATAAATTGTGTAGAATAACGGTCATGACTGACATAATACTAAAAGTAAATTAAACATTTCTCTATTTCCAGCCAGAAAATTTACTCTACTACAGCCCAGACGAAGATAGCAAAATAATGATAAGCGATTTTGGCTTGTCTAAAATGGAAGATTCTGGAATAATGGCCACAGCATGTGGAACACCGGGCTATGTCGGTTAGTCAANATTCAAAGCCTGTGTTTCCAGCTCCAGAGGTTTTGGCTCAAAAGCCATATGGAAAGGCTGTCGATGTTTGGAGCATTGGTGTGATATCATACATATTGTTATGCGGCTATCCACCATTTTATGATGAAAACGATGTCAATCTTTTCACTCAAATCCTTAAAGGTATTTAGTTTAGAAAAAAAAAACCTTTCAGTTGTTAGAAAGTTTAATTGAAATATTTAATTATAGGAGAGTTTGAATTTGATTCTCCTTACTGGGATGATATAAGTGATTTTGCGAAGGATTTCATCAAGAAATTGATGTGTGTTGAAGTTAGTAAGAGATTCACCTGTAAACAAGCGCTTCAACATCCATGGTGAGTGACATTCTTTCATTTTAATTTTTTTAATATATTTTATTCAAAACTGAGAAATCTTTAAGTTTTTTTGTAAAAATAAAAAGGATAAGCGATGTCAATTTTAATTTTTTTTCATGGGATGAATGATTATTTCTCAAAATTTATTGTATTGCATAAGTTTATATTATATTAAGAAACAAAAACTGCAAATCAGAAAGCATCTTGTTCAGTTAATCCATCTTAATTTAAAATTATAAAGCTATTATTTGCAAGTAATGTACCTGCAGTACATTATTTGTTGGTAATGGTGGAGAGATTTTTGTTTAATTTTAAGATTGTCTTCAAGATCCCCCTCTAGGTACTCCTAGGTGAGTGTATGCATGAGTGTCCGTGATCTGATTGTTCCCTTAGTCTCAGACTTTGTACTGGTCTCCTCAATATCCATTTTTATTTAGTGCAATTTTCGATTTTATGTTTGGTGAGAGGCCTTCAGTTCATGTGGAGAGTTTTGCATGATTGTCTCCGTCTTTCATTAATCTTAGTCTAGGAAAAACGGTTTTGCTATTATGTTATAATATCTCGGTAATCTAACTTTCAAAATAGTTTTAACATTCTTAAATAAACTATTATTATTATTATTTTTTTTAAATTTGCCTTTTCTGAACTATTTATGAATGATTCTTCCATCAATGCTGCATCCTTTTTTGGACATTGTAGGGAAATTATTGTTCGAAAATTGTGAGATGTGGTCTGGTGTGATGTAGGTTTCAGAAAAATATTTTCTTTATCATGCCAACGTTTTGATCTTTATTGAGATCATCTTCAGGGCCTGGGATTTACAAACATTGTTTAAATTTAACAAATACATGTAGGATATGGAAACAAGTGAATTTATACAATGCAAAAAAATATTTTTTATATTCAATCAAAGTATTTCTACTCACTTAAAGTTTGTTTTCTGCGTAATTGTGACATTCTTGCGTGTCGTGTTGAGAGTGCCAGTGAGATATTGCTGTTTTATGTTTATATATGTTGGATTTTGAAAGGGTGGGGAAGAAAGTCGATATAGAAAGACATTTTTGTATAAGGAGTCAGCTTCTTTGAGGTGAAAAGAGATGACGATGGGAAAAAATGTTGGTAATGGTTCGACCAAATTATCCTTTCAGGAATATATAGACGGGGATAAATAGGAAAAGGAAAGCTAAATTGTTGAAAAATTAGACTATGTAAAAATGTTTGGTGTGTGGAATGTAATGAATGTTTTACATGTTATATTATGTTTTGTGTGATGAGATGATATATGTATGTTATCTATATTGAATTTGATTAATTATATTGGCGTAGCTGCGACTGAGTTTACATGTGTCTGTTCTGTAATTGATGCTGTGTTTATCTCTGTTGATGTAAACCATTTCTAAAAAGTTACGTTTATGTTTGTTTTGTTCTGTGTGTAATATTTTTGGATTGTTGAAGTCGAAATTGTGTTTGTGTTCAAAATGGTGGGTTGTGAGTGCTGTAGGATTTTGCTTGGGTTTTTTTTTTGCATAGATATGTTTCTTTTTCTCTCTTACCCAGATATTGGGATGTAAGATTGATGTAAGTTGCTGGACAGTTTTAAACATTTGATTTTGTAGATTACGTCAGATTTATTGGTTATTGGTGTGGGATCTTTAATTTTGGAAAAAAGTGTTTGAATTGTTTTATAATTTTTGAAAGCTGTGTGTGGTGATTAGTGACGGTTAATCATTCAGAGATCGTGAGATGCAGACCGCATCTCTGAAAAATCATTTTTGAAAGCTATTTTGAAGTTATCGGACGAGAGAAATGTGTTTAGTTTATGTGATAGGCCTTGAATAAATGGCATGGATATGTATGCTGGTTTGTTTGTATTTGATAGATTTGATGTAGTATTATTAGTAATAGTGGATGGTGTTAGTGTTGAATTGTAGTTGTTGATTATTCTGTTGATTATGTGTTTAGGGTAGTGATTGTTATGTAGGATATGTTTGTATTTCTTCCTGTTTTTGTGGTGAAAAGAAGGGTAATAATTCTGTGCAATAACCCTTTGGCCGTGTTTATTATTGTATGGAGGGAATGGTGTGATGTAAAGTTGAAGTAGTGTTCTGTGTTTCTTAGTTTTTGATACCAGTCTGTGATTAATGTTCCATCTGGTTGTTTTATTACGAGTGTATCTAAAAATGGTATTGTTTTGTTGTTTTCGATTTCATGTGTGAATTGTAGGCATGGGTGAAAGCTATTAAATGTATCTAATGTAGTTTGAATTTGATCTGTGGGAACTGCTGTCGTATTATCATCTACGTATTTAGTGAGGAAGAGTAATATGAAAGGAAGTTGTGGTATAACTGTGTTTAATAGATGTGACATAATTATATCTGCAAGTATTGGGCCTAAGTTGCAACCCATGGCTATGCCAAATAGTTGTTTGTAAAATTGATTGTTGTATGTAAAATATCCATTAACACAGCAGTGTTGGACCATTGCTATGAACGTGTTCTTTGATAGGCTTGTGTGTGGTGTTACGTTGGGACATTTACGTTAATAATGTTCAGTGTTGTGTCTATTGGGATGTTGGTAAACAATAATGAAACATCTAGGGATATGAGAGAGTAGTGTGAGGGGATGTGAATATTATTCATTTTGTTAATGAAATGAAATGAATCTTCTATGTTATATGTGTTATCTGTAGTGTTCGGGTTTATGTGTTTTTACAGATTCTTATAGTTTCAGGGGCGTTGGTGATTTATTTTGAAGTGATTTGTAGGTGTATATGTCAATTTATTTTTGTTTAAGTGTTTCTTGGAGAATTTTGTTTGTCTGTTTGATGAGAGAAGGGGTAGGGTCTGATTTGATTGTGCTGTATGTGTTTATGTCGTTGATAATTTTGCTAATTTTTTCCTTGTACGTTTGTTTTGTTTTATCAGCAGAAAGAATGAGTATGTCAGGATTATTTTTGAGAAAATTGGTTTGGGTGTTGAGATATATTGTGTGGATTTGTAGTGAGGTGTTGAAAGTGATTTGTTATTGTGTTAATGAATTTTGATCGTGTTATGTCTTTTTCTTCTTCTGTTTTTGTGGACTTTTGGATTACATATCAGTAATTAATTTAGCTGTTGGAAAATCTGTTTTGTTGTAAGGAATGGAATGTTTGGGACCAAGTGATAGGAAGTTTTGGATTTCTGGAGGAATGTTAGTTTTTGTTAGGTTTAGAAACCATTTGTTTGTGTTAACAGGTGTTTGTTTGTTGATTAAGTTGTTCAAGAAAATGTTTTTCTGAAACCTACATCACACCCCAGACCGCATCTCACGATTTCCGAATAATCATCGACTAACAGTCACTAATCACCACACATTATAGGGAAATTAAATTTGTTTTGCCACATGGTTATCTTCTGTTAAATACTACAGCATTATTGAAACTATCTGGTTTAACTTTTTCAAGGATATGATTTGTTTTAATCTGACAAGAGGTATGGGATAACTGATTTCAATGAAACTTTTGGTGATACTAGGTAGAAACATATTAGACATTTATCCGAGCATTTTCAATTGAGCTTAGGAGCGAAGAAACAAAAAACATTAATATCTCACTAACACTCTTAACACGACACACAAAACATATTTGCACAGAAAATACACTTTGAGTGAGTACAAATACTTTGATTAAATCTAAAATTTCTATATTGTGTATATCATTGTATAAATTCATATTGTTTATAAATCCCAGACTCTGAAGATCATCTCAATAAAGATCGAAATGTTGGCACGATAAAGAAAATGTTTTTCTTAACCTACATCACGACTGTACATACTACAAAGAGTAGTAATTTCATTTTAATGGACAATTTCTTCAATTTCAACAATACAATATAAAGAATTCGATTATTGAGAGTGTAGATTTAAATAAAAAAATAACAATTTATCTAGATACGAAAAAAAAAGAAGAAAAACACTCAGTAATTAGAGGCCACATAGTTTATAATTAGAGGCCTTATTTGTAAGATAAGTGTTCTGATAAATGTTAGCAAAAAGGATATACAATTGCATACAAATGCAGGCATTGTGCCAGGCGGCATGCGACAAACAATTTATTAAATTATGAACAAAATGATGTAATTTGATTTTTATTTATGTAATAAACATAAACACAATTATTATTAGTTTATAAGAAATTGTTAACAAGAAAAAATATACAGTGACTAATTTATTGATATAATTCCTGTCCAATTATGGCTTGTCGGTTAATTAATCCCAGGGTACTATTCAATTTATTGTTGTTCTTTATTTGCTGCATTATACCACTTATAAATTTATAGACCCAGATGGTACCTTATACATAACAATTATTATAGACACTTCTAACAATATATTTGGAGCAATTTTCTGGGTATCCACATACCGTGGAAAGTCCACTTTTTCCAACAAAACCAAACACTTTGCTTGGTCCTCTTTGCACACTTCTCTTGGTATTAGAATTGCCTTACTGTAAACAGGCTGTTATTAGACATTCACAAAGGATATGTGCCAGTGTCTCTGGTCTGTCTTGACAGAGTAGTCTTTGCCCATTTTTAGGTAGTAGTACAAGAGACTATACTGTTGAAAATCCTGCCTGCTGAGAGAGAGGTGTTTTCTATCTTCCTTTAAAAAGAACAAAAAACTTTCCTTGTGGTTTTCCCCACTGCTTGAATTTTGTTCTCACTTGATTACCTATTGAGAATAGTGTGAGAAACGTATTTTGGTTTGACTCCCTTGACCACAACACCTAAAAGGTAGTTCAACATTGTCCATCTGTAAGACAGGAATTACTTTACTTTTGGGACTGTGGTGGCCAGGTGGTTAGGGTGTCCAACTTGTATTATCACCCTAACGGTGGTGGTTGGTCAAATCCCAGCACAGACCATGACTTATTAATTGAGAATAGTATGAAAAATGAATTCTCAAGTGGTGGTTTCGTTTTTTCTCTTTTTTTCGGTGAAGAATGTTTATATGTGCAAAATTTTTTATTAATTAGCATAAACCAGCTTGTTAGTATCTTATTTTATGTTTTGTCATCTTTATACATAAATTTCATAATGTACTTAATCCAATTTTAACAATTTTGTGTGATGTAAAGGTTAAATGAAAATTTGTTTTTTTAAGATAGTGGAGTGGCTTATTATAAAGCTCTGGATGCTTGTTTAGTAATGAATTTCTTTTTTTCTTCTGTTGTTTTGATAATAGGATATCCGGCAATGCAGCTAGCAATAAAAACATTCACGGTACAGTTTCAGAACAGTTGAAGAAAAACTTTGCCAAATCCAAATGGAAGGTTTGTACAATATACAATGCTCAAATTTTTCTAAATTTTTAAATTTCTGATTGCTATTTTCAGCAAGCCTATCACGCAGCAACAGTTATCAGACAAATGCAAAAGATGGCATTGGGGAGTGGAGCAGCGGGTTCAAATATTTCTGACCATTCTTATAACGGGACATCTCAGTAGATCCATCTTCTTGTCATTTTCAATTAGTTTTGTAAGGGAGTTTTATCAAAAAATGATTGTAATTAACTGTTTTATTATCAATAATACATATCGTTTTAGATGGGATAATTTAAATGTCATATTTATTTAGTTTTGCGGAATAATTTTTATTGTTATTACCAAGGGTATCAAAAAAAGGGTTTTTATATTCTTATATTAAAAAAATTGTCTATTTCTTATATCGTGTTATTGTTAATTAATTTTTAAAACAATAATAATCATATTTTTCCCATTTTCTATGCCTCTTGGTGCAATCAAAGTTGGAATTGCATGCACAAATGAGTGGTAATATTGGAGAAAATGTATATATATATAAACTACTCAATAAAAATATATAAAGAATTGGTACATATACACCATTGCAGCCTGAAACAAAAGTGTTAAGTTAGAAGAGAAATATTTCAAAATAAACTTTTAACAGTTTCTTTTAGGGCTTGTTTATTATAAACATATAGCTTTTCAACATATAAATGAATCAATTCATAGTTTATTATAGTCTTAGATAACTTTGTATCGATTTTAAATTCAAATATCACCAGTTTAAAATGAGACAAATGGAAATTTTTTGAGATCCATTGCTAATGAAGCTTGACAAATTTACCGCAAGACTTTTTTTAACATTTTGCCACACAGTTTTTCAGCTTTTGTAAAGTTTCGTTAATAAAATTGAAATAACAGTTCTGGAGTCTCTTCTTTCAAATTAAAGACCATCACAAATACAGATGTTAGTTTTATCTCTTTTTTTTTCTATTTTGCTTTCTCATTTATGAGTTCATCAAATACATTTGTATAAAATTGCTTATTAAAAATTCAGTTTGACAATACACTGTTTTAATCCAATGATTTTAATTAAATTTCGAACATATTCTATTCAATTCAGTTCTTCCTCTAAAGTTTCAAAATACTATCATTATAGAATGTACTAAATATAATGTTGCACTTTACTGTGATAAAAAAAAATAGTGATATGTTTTATCTTGGCAAGTGATGTGAACTAAGATTTGGCAGTATCTACTATGACGTTATTTTTTCAATGTCCAAAAAAAAAAATCCAAGGTTGTTTGAAATAAGCTGTGTTAATTATTAAAAAAAGTTCCTGTCTTAATGTTTTTTGGTTGTTCGGGTGTTCTTGATAATCTCATACAATAGAAGTCAGTTTCAACCTTGATGTGGTAATAATTTTAAATATGTATATATTTTTTTATAGGCGTCTTTTTTGCTGATAGATTTTTTGATACTTTGATATTTGTACAGATAATAGTTTTTGCTTTGTGATCTTTGTTTTTTTTTTTATTGGGAAAACAGGTTTGTACTTTAATGTGACAATTTGTAACTCAAACGTGATAAGATGGTGTCAAAATTAAAACAAAAATTAGATTCTCACTAGTTTACTTTTGAAAAACCATTCGTTATAATTTTTAAAACTTTGCTCAATTCACCACTTTTTTTATGTTTTAATTGTCGATTAGAGAGTAATTTTGTAAATGGTTACTTGCTCATGTTTATGTTCTGTTGGCTTTAATTTAAATTAATGTTTAAATGGCACTACAATCGCATAAAAATATAGAACAAATTGATGCCTGTTCTTATTTTCTCTTAATGTGGCCTAAATCATGTAATTTATAAAAGTGTATCAAGGAAGTGCCATTAAAAAAATATACATATAAAAAATGAAAAATAATGGTGTAAATGTACCAAAATTAACAAATGTCTACTCTCATTTTTAATTATTATTTTCAAATTTATTTGTTTTGAAAATATTTTAATCTTCCAACGCTATGACTAAAAAAAAAAAAAAATGAAAGTGTGATAAATCAATTTTTTTCTATTTTGCTAATTATACAATTTATAATTCTTATGCCTGACAAAGATTGTGTAGGGTTATTGTTATATTTTGATGACTAATGTTTTGAAAACTTTTGTATATATTTTATTTTTTGAAATAATTAATGTTTTAAATAAAAAGAGAAAAAAATAAAAAACTTTAAAATTACTATGAGTATGTAGTATACTATATTATTATATACGTAATATATTATGTATATAATATATATAAACTTTATGTAAGTCTATTGTTATAAAATTGAAATAAGTCTATTGTTATAGTTTTGCTAATAAACAAATTTAAATTTATTACCAAATTTCAAATGAAGTGAAACAGTAAATTCAATACAATTAGTTAATTTTACTTAGTTGTTGTATGCAAAATTTTTAATCTCAAAACAGTAGACTTGCTATTATTGTTTAACTCGTAAACTATTAACTGACAGATTTAACAACTTCCACAACAGGAAAACTAATTATGTTTTCTTTTGGTCAGAAAATTTGTATGTACGATAAAAATTACTGTGTATATATTGTTCTGAAAAAAGGGTGTAAAACCCTTCTTAGAAAAAAAAGTTACTGTTAAATGTAACTCTAACCTTTCTTAACCAGGTTCGATGACGTTTGATGAATTTTGAACATTAATTTACTGAATATTTTTAACAACAAAAAATTATACTTTGATAAATGCAGTGTGATTTGCTGTCAATTCAGTCATTGTTGTATACTTGTTTTATAAAGACTGGTGCTTACACATTTTTATAGGTTAAACACCACTAATGCCAAGCACTGTATATATTATATATATCCATAGAGAACTGTCCATTTCTCTGAAGATTAATTTGCTGTAATCGCTTTTTGCTATCGAAAAAAAAAGTTAATATTATTGTAATAATATATTTTTGGTTATGTGATAACGAGGCCGTATTTTCATTAAATTATTGTTTTATTTATTTATTTGTTAGCATTGATATATTTAAATGGGAAAGTAGTCACATAAATTCTAATTACAAGCTATTGCAATATATGGCATAAAAAAACTTTTGTCCTTTTTCTTCTCTTGAAATGCCAAACTTTAACAAAGCTTGAAAGTTTATGTAATTGCTTTCTTCATATGTTGACACTAATAAGATTATATAAAACGTTGTTGAACTATTGTACAAAAATAAATATATTTAAAAAATTGTTACTTATAAAGTCAATGTACTGTTAAAAAATTATGAAAACTGTTAAGTATACACTTGGAAAAATATTTGGTTAACTTGGATATTGTACTTGAAAAAAAAAATATATATATGTAACCGTTATGGTGTTTATCTTTGGAATTATTTGGTGTTTCTCTTGCTTTCACCTTGTAAAAGATATATATATATATTATTAAATATATATCTTATTTTCTATTCTTTACAAAAAAAATCTGATATGTAACCTAATCTTAATCCTAACCCGACCTAACCTCACCTTAACCCAATTAACTAATGACTTCCCATTAACAAAAAAATCAAGTAACCAGCCCAAAAACATATCCAAATGAAAATCTAATTTAAATCTGCATTTAAACTCATATATTTTCTCCGTTTCACAAAAATAACATTGTGGCAGGTATGCTACCTAACCCTAAAAAACCTAACCTAACCTTACTCCAGCCCTACCTAATTTAACTCACTTTGTCTAACCCTATCCAAAACCTAACCTTAATCCAACCCTACTTAACAAATAATCTAACCCTATCTAACAAAACTCATGCACATTCCCTGATAACGAAAAAAAAAGTCAAATACAAAAATGCAACATTCCAGCTTAAAAACATATCTGTTAAAATCTAATTTAAATCTGCATTTAAACTCAAATATTTTCTCTGTTTCATGAAAAAATCATTGCATGACAGATATTTTACCTAACCCTACCTATCTAATCTTAATCCAACCCTACTTAACATAACTCACTAACCCTATCTTACCAAACCCATGCATACTCCCCGGCAACGAAATAAATCGTCACAAAAAATAAAGCATCGATAGGGATTTTTAATTATATGTTGATATATCTTTTTTGGGATAGGATCGACTTAATCAATATATCGTCAAAAATATATCAATATATTTAATTTTAGGTACATTACGACTATTTTATAATATCCATGTAATAGTAACAGTAAAAATATACTAATGATCATGAATAATTACATAATTTTTATTAAGTAGTTTCTTTGTTTCTTGGAAAATCATTAAATGATGTATACGTATTCTCACCTATGCCTAACTATAAGTCTAACCCTAACTATTCTAAACCTAACCTAACCCAAACCATGTACACCTCCAGTAACATGAATGTGGTCACACAAAAAAATTGTGCATCCATGTTGCATGCAAAAACACATCCATGTTGCATGCAAAAACACATCCATGTTAAAAAGTAAGTGTTGGTGCAACGTTTGTTCTCTAGGAAATGAAACTCAAGAATAAATAATTTACGAGTACCATCTGGCCCCATGCTGGGAGTAGAATTTAGGGGCTTTCTACTTGAGCCACATTACATTTAATTAAATCCATTACAGTTCGTGGTCTGATTGATCAATTAACATTTTTCAATAATTAATATATTTATGAAAGTTATTGGTCGAGATAAAAAAAGTCAGTGTCACGAGCGGGATTCGAACCCACGATCTTTGGCTAAATACACCACTGCTCTACCATTTGAGTTATCGTAACTTCGATCCACTTGGACACTAACTTCCCATCTTAACCTCACTTCTCGAATTTTCCCTCCTTTTTGCCATTTTTCAAATGTCATGTAATCTATTTGATTCTCGGCTACAAATGAAATGACCACAGAGAGCTTTCGTGAAGATATGCTTCAATTGAATTATTAAATCCATTACAGTTCGTGGCCCAATTGACCAATTAATATTTTTCAATTAATTAATATTTTTATGAAAGGTATTGGTCGAGATAAAAAGTCAGTGTCACGAGCGGGATTCGAATCTACGATCTTTGGCTAAATACGCCGTAGTATTAATTAGAAATAGATAGCAGTAACCCACAGTTTTAACTTAAAAATTTAAAAGTCACTATTTTATATCAATCAGCATGCATGTCAAAATTGTATAATACTGAAAAAAAGTTAGCCAAAACACAAAAGAACATTATAATATATAATTTTATTTGAGAATACAATTATAAAAATTATCATACATTGCGTTTGTACAAAAAATAAGTAATTTCCATATACATCTTATGTCCATGAATACATACATTTATACAATAATTATGATATGATTTTGGGCTCATCGATACCACTAATTCTTTGGGAAATATTTCTTTGGTGTGGAAATCCATAAGATAATCCATAGTCCGCAGTCCTATCGTCTATGTTATCATTTACTTGAACTGAAATAAAAAATATTATCATGGACAAAATGATAAAATAATGATTTTCATTAGTTGGTTAGCATTATTACAAAATACCAGTTATGTCTTGTATTATTACATGTGGGCTAGTGCTTGGACCAGGTGAATCTACATCAATCTTTTCATCAGTCATAAAGGTAACAACTTTAGGTCGTGGAGTGTCATTTTGTTCCCATTGGTATCCTTAAAATACAAAAATAAGGCAAATTGTAAATAAAATCTGATTTTACACCCAAACATGGGCTGTTATTTTTTTAAATTTTTATAAGTGACTAAATGTAAATGGAAAATATATCACACATTTTATTGATTTTCCCTAATCATTCTTATGTCTGCCTATTCTTGCTAGCTTTGAATGTCAGATGTGTTGTACCATTTTGATATCTTCAATGTTTGGACTGTGTGTTATTTCATCCATCCTGTCTTTTATAAGTGCGCAAAATGAAAAGGGTGACAGGGATGTGTGGCACTACCTTTACGTAATCATTTTTATATCATCAATTTTGCATTTACAGGAAGTGCAACCAGGTTAGGTTAGGTTTATAGTTAGGGATGGGTTTGGGTTAGTGTGAGGGATATGTTAAGATTAGGTTAGGTTAGGTAAGGTAGGGTTAGTGTTAGGTTAGGTAGGATTAATGGCTTAGGGCTAGTGTTGAATAGGTTAGTGTAAGGGATGGGTTGGGAATAGCGTTAGGGATTGTGTTTGGGTTAGTGTTAGATTAGGCTATGTATAGTTTAGGTTAGTGTTAAGCTTGATTAGGTTAGGTAATGGTGAGTGTTAGGGACAGGTTAAGATTTGTTAGATTAGGTTAGGTTAGGTAGGGTAGTGTTAAGTTAGGTTGGCTTGAATAGAATTAGGGCTAGTGTTAGAATTGGGTTAGGAATAGTGTTAGGAATGGGTTTGGGTTAGAGTTGGGAATGGATTTGGGTTAGTGTTAGGTTAGGTTCGTATGAGGGATGGGTTAGGAATAGTGTTATTGTTGGGTTAATGGTAGGAATGAGGATTAGGGTTAATTAGGTAAGGCCATTAGGATTATGGCTAGAGTAAGGAATGGGTTAGGTTACATATCCATGATTCTATGTTTTTCTGTGAAGATGAGAAAATATAAAAGTACTTTTTTTGGACTGATAAGTAAAATAGTAGATCTAATAGGAAGATCAAGATTATTATGGATAATCAAGCTACATTGCTGGATGCGAAATCTGACATCATGCTCATATGCTAACAAATTCTTTCTTCATTGCTAACAAACTTTCAATTTACAAAAAGAGAGTATGTGAAATAAGCAAATTTTTGGTTTCAACGCAATCAAATTTTGACCTTTTATAGGCAACGCAAATTTGCAAAATGTAAAGTAAGATCACTTTGCCAAATAATTGCAATTGTCATGCCAAACGGGGGTATGTAATTGGTTAAATTTATCCACAAGTATCCTGGTTATATGTTACACTTTAATATAATACAAAAGAAGCCCCCTTTTTAAAATATAAATAATAATGAAAAATTAATTAATTTAATTCTTCTTGAAGCAATTCTTTAATGTAAACCAAAGTAAATTGGTTATGTTTCTACCTTGCATCAGTCTTGTTTCTTCTTCAGGATTAGTGAAGCTATTTCTCATGGAGTTGCTATTTTTAAAATCTGAAATAGAATATCCATTTCAAATATATTTTACAGTCTTAATGAACATTGGTCATTATTACCATTATTGATTTTTAAATTATCTGAGCTCTTGTTTAAATTCTGAAGAAAACTACAGCTGCTGTTTCCTAATTCTTCCCCTGAACCACTTCTAATATTGTCAAGGTTGTTGAGCGGTAGTGCCGTGTACAGTGTGTCAGTTCCACAATTATATGAGGAAGGTCGATCTCTTGACTGAAAAAAAAAAAAAAATCACTGGTGTTGCTGAGGAAATTTAAACTAAATTCGACTAGATTAACCTGAGAAAATTTGAGATTGTTAATTTTGGAATTGCAGATAGAATCAGGGTCAATGGCTACTTTTTTCCCATTGGCATTTTCCCTACTTCTATGCTTTTGGCATTTCCTGAAAACCACAATATTTTGACATAAAACTGCCTAATGTTATAAAATATAAAATAAAAAACTAAGAATTAGGAATACCACAAAATAACACTGGATATTGCAAGAATGGAAATGGCTAGAATTGCAATAATAACAATTATAATATATGTGTAGCTAAAAGTGAATTGGTCCATTGAACTTTGGCTAGAAGAGTTGCAGGTATGATTTTCTGCACAGAGCGGAGCAACAGGAGGTGCAGATGCACACATGAAATAGCCTCTTGTCCCTCCCTGATGTGAACAGACAGTTGGAGGAGGACAGTCACAGTCCTTCTCCAAATTAAGTTCACATGCCTCACCTAAAAAAATATAACAAAAAAAAAAATTAATTATGTGTTTGTATTGAAGAAAGTTGGTTGTTTTCACCTGTATAAGAGGGCAAGCAAGCGCAATACATTCTGTGTGAATGTGCAGGTGCAACAAAACTGAACATTTCTGTGCTCGTTGTTATCATTTTCTGCTGGATTAATGAGATTCGTTGTCGGCAACTTCCTTCATTTTGGCAACTGCACTTTAAAATGCTTGTGGGGAGTCCACAGTTAATAAGTGCAGTATTAAACTCTTTAAGGGATATGTTCTGGAATAAATGTTAATCTTAATTATTATAATTTTTTATTTTAAAAAAAGCATACCTCTTGAAAGGACAAGAGCACATCAACGTCCTTGTTTGCTGGTTGAATACTGAGCAAATATATTTCTGTCTTGAGAAATTGTTTGAGCATACGCAGGATATTTTTACGTCCAGTGAGCACAAAATTTTTTGAACTCATCCCTTTCACCCTACAAAAAAGATTTTTTTAAATTATAATTACTTTAGTTTAAGCAAATGTAAACTACTACAAAATTTTAAATTCTCTCCATACTTCAGAAAAGAACAAAAAGATTTGATTAACAGTTACGAATTACTGATTTATCTAAGCTCAGCTATGTATATGCATGTACATACATACGCACATATACAGAGTTGAATCTATCACTTCTGGTAGTACACAGCAATTCCAGCTTTTGTGTAATTTACTATAAATTACCGGCGGGCCTTGAGAATCACCCACCTCGGGTGTGGTCAAACCTCAGTCTTATCCCTCCAGCCACCAAGATTGGGCTGTCTAGGTCAATTCAGCACCCAACGCATGTAGATCCTAGATCCAAACCCATTCACACTCTCATTCATTCTTAAATACATTCTTTCATTTTCCCATACCATTCACTCAGTCAGGGTGGGGGGTGGAGTACTCGATGTTTATTCATCACCCTTTACACCTTTTATATAACTAACCTAATTGAATCTCTTTAAAATGATAGTTCCTACTCACTTCCGATAAGTAACAAGATAGTTACTACTCCTAGTTAGTTGTTTTCAACGTTCCGGATTTCAACCTGATGATGAGCTATAAGCTTGAAATCCAGATTGTTGAAAACAACTAACTGTAAGTAGGAACTATCTTTTAAAAATTGGAACAACACACTCACATCACCAATTATCATTTCTAACCTAATTAAAGGTCGATGGGGTACTGACCACCATCGGCCTTCTCATACTGCATATTCACACTAATAAATGCATTTACTAAGGAAACAAAACTATTAATACTATATACAATAAAACAGCCCTGTTTCCTCCAAAAATCAGAAGAGGGACCTGCTGTGCTCAAGTACAATTCTCATATTAGGTGGCATTCCTCACGCTTTCTATAAGGACCCAAGGAGTTGCACCCTTCAATTAAAAAATGGAAACTCTACTGCCTAAAAGTAGTGTCCATGTGCCAACCTCGTATAGCCATCAGGTGAGGATGACATTTCTTCTATGAGTCATCTGTACGAGCCCTCCAAGGGCCACCTATTGACAGTTCAGTTGTATCGTTGCATGATTTGTGAAATTTATATGTACTGATTTAAATTGATTTTATATGTTTTTGTTAATTTAATTTCTGGTTGCAAGCTTTTTAAGGTTTTTGAAAGAATGGTCCTCGGTCCTGTATCTGCAAAATGTAGCAAATTTTATGCCTCCCAGTTTTGGAAAATCACTGGTGTAAAACAAATAAAATATTGTGCCTGGTATTCTGCCTTGGGGCACTTCTGCATTTATTGTTTTCAGCTTTGTATATCGATCTTCTTGCTTGACACTAAAATGTCTGTCAGTTATGTGGAATGCGATAATATCTACATATTACTTTGATAGCATCCATCTTATTTTACCAATAGATTTTTCTTTTAACTTTTCTAATAGAAATAGTAAAATAGTTACTAATTTTTTTTTAGTCACAGGTTGCATAAGATTGAACAATACTTATTGAATAAGATAGTTTCAGTCTCATTTGGATTTATTTTAATTGTCAACTTTGTGAAATATTTTTCTAACTTTGGGGGATTCCCTTATTAAGGAGATAGCGAACAATTTTTGGGACGATCAGATAGTTTTCTTCCTATGCTGTTTTTTAAATTCCATTTCTACTCAATGGATTTCAATTTTGATACATATTTATTTTTCAAGGGCATTTTACCATATTTTGGCAATTTTTTTTAGGGGTGTTTAGTTTTTCAAAGAGATGGCAAAAACTTGTAATTTCTCCTTTTTCTCTAAATCTATTAAATCTATTACTACCGATTTTTTTTTTTTTCATTTAGTATACTACAAATTTGTAACTAAAGGGTTTTACAAATAGTGAATCATTAGTTTTTGACAACTACCTAAAGTTGTATTAAGATTCTTAAAAAAAAAGAAAACACACACACACACACACACATTTACAATTAAAATGAAAAATACATGTCCTACTATACGGCATGGTAATAAACTGTCTGTTGGGTAGAAAGAAATTTTAGCAAATATATGAATATAAACTATACCTGAAGCTAAAAGATGATAAGAGCATATCTGCAAATAGTGGTTGAATATTAATATTCACTGTACCACTCGAACTGAACTTTCCATCTGTTACAGTCACGTTTAGTTTGTATTGTCCTGTGTCAAGATTAGAAAGCGTTATTTCACCCGATTGTGGATCTAAACTGAATCCGTTGGTTTCTTTATCCAGCAAATATGTGAGCGTATCGTACTGATCAGGGTCTTTGGCATGAACTTGGCCCAATGAACATGACTTTAAATTGTCCTCATAGGAAAGAACGATGACATCCTTTGGTGTTAAAGAAGGTGGAAATTGAGATTCTTCGACAACCTGGAAAAAAAAAACATTATTTTTATTTGCATAATGTCCGATCTTAAAACAAATTTTACTAACCCTGATAGTTACTGCTGCATCGGAGAAGAAAGGTGGAACCCCACTGTCAAACACTCTTATTTTTAAATGAAAAACATGCTGGGCATGATGGGCTAGTCTTTGTACAGTCCTGATTGTACCGTCACTACTGATTTTGAACAATTTGTCCTCGTTGCCTTCAATTATATCAAATCTGTACGGGCCACTGTTATTTCCAGAGTCTGAATCTGTCACACTCAGTTTGATAATAGACCAACCACCAGCTTTTCCCTCCTAAAAAAAGTACAAAAAAAGGAAAACAATTTTATCTTGTTGAGATATGCAAATTTTTTTTGTATACCTGAATTATCGCCGAATAGTTCAACTTAGAAAAAAGTGGAGGATTATCATTAATATCAAGAATTTCAATATTCACAGTCACAGCGGTTGACAATGGTGGTTTTCCTAAATCAGTTGCTTTTACTGATAATTTGTAATTTGAGATCTGTAAATAATTTTATATCAAATTTTGTTAAAGAGGCTTTACATATTTAAAAAAAGATTTACCTTTTCTCGGTCTAAAGGTTTGGAAACTGTTATATAACCATTAACAGGATCAACAGTAAACTGATGATGAATATCTCCGTTTTCTATGCTGTAGACTATTCTTCCATTATCTCCACTGTCGACATCAGTTGCAAGTATCTGAAAAGTCAAAATTTACATATACAATTTTATCTTATTTGTGTATGTAGTAAAGATGTATTTGTTACCTGTAAAATTGTACTTCCTACATTAACATTTTCATAAACTGAAGTTGTGTAAATGATTTGCATGAATATGGGAATATTGTCGTTTGAGTCAATCACAGTAATGTTTACCAAAGCCTGACTAGAAAGGGGTGGTTCACCTCTATCGGTAGCTTCTACCGTAAGTAAATAAGTTTTGACTAGTTCATAATCAAGAAACTGAACAGCAGACAAAATTCCTTAAAAACAAAAATTACTCAGATATTAATTAGATTTTAAGGGGAAAATTTTCAATACATACCTGATTTTGGATCCAATGAAAATTTACCATCATCGTTTCCGTTCACAATGGAATAAAATATTTCAGCATTTAAACCTATATCGGCAGAGAATGCTTCCAATTTCAAAATTTCCACATTTATCTGGATATTTTCAGGGATTTTGACTGAATAAACCTTTTTAGGAAAAATTGGAGGATTATCATTGACATCAAGAACGCTAATAACCATTGTTGCAGTCGTCGATAGTTTTGGAATGCCTTGGTCAGAAGCTGTGACCGTCAATGTGTACTTATCCTGTACTTCACGATCAAGATTTTTTGTCAGCTGAATGAGACCAGTTTTGGGAGAAATCATGAAATTTTTTGAAGAAGACATTCCATATCTCACTCTTGAATTTACACCTTGAAGACAAATACAAATTTTAGGAAAAAATTGTCAATTTACGCGATCTAAATGTGATTACCTAAGTCATCATCGGTAGCTTGGATTTGGGTGATTATAGAGCCAGCCTTAGCGTTTTCAAGTATAGTGGCAGAAAGATTGCTCGACATGAATCTCGGTGGGCTATCATTCACATCGATAATAGTTACAATGACTTCAGACTGACATTTCCACATTTTATTATTTTTATCATCATCCACAACATCCACAACTAAGTTATATTGAGGTATTCTTTCACGATCAAGTAACTTTCTGGTTTTTAACTCACCTAAAATTATGATAAAACTGAATGAAACAGATTCTATTCTAGTAAACCAAATCAAAATATAGTCTCAATTATTTATTTTTTTTAATTTTAAGAAATGAACCTTTTGAGCTTGATGAGTGAATACCTTAAAAAAATTATACTAAATCCAAAAAATTGTGAGTGTTGCAGAATCGTCGATCTTGTAGTTAGGACAGACTTACAAGCAACATTGAACTTATTAATCAGTCAACTAGCTGATAAATTAATTGTTTATATAAAAGTGGTTAAATTTTTTAAAGAAGAACAAGAAGAAAACTTAAATTTGATACATAACGATCATCTTGCTGGGTTTGTGTTTTAGATATGGTTGGCATTTTGTCCATCTTCAGTGTGTCTGAGATTTTGGTGAAGTCAAGTCGATTTTATAAGGCGTTATTTTTGTTGGCCAGTTTACCAAAGGGGTCAGATTTTAGAAAAATATTTAGGTAAAATTTTTAATAATAGATATTTTTAATAGATAGTGGTCTGATCCCAACAGCTGGTTAGTTCGCTTTACAGGCTACATTTTATGACTTAGAACACAGAATTTACAAAGATCTCCCCACCCTATTGAAATCACGAGAAAAGCTCAACCAGAAAAATATCTATTGAGATGCAGAGCTTTTTTGTAATTATTCTACGAGCGATCTCAGTTCAAGCAGTTTCTTAGTAGGATAAACAATATATTAAAATAAATCAATATCAGTTGAATTGTGAGAAAATAGTCCATAATATTTCCAAAATTTTTGGCAGATAAAATTAATCCAAAAAAATTTTTTTTGCCTTATCAGAGAAAAACAACTCTTTTGAAGTTTCAATAATAATCCCATTTATTATTTTACACACATTATTTGTTTTTTTCAAATGATTAGGTGTGCAAAAAAAAAAAAATAAATAAAAACTAATATTAAAAAAAATGAAAATAAGGAACTGAAGATTATTTTGCAGTTAGCCGATGGAACCCATGATCCTTCTGGAACCATTAGGGTTTGTGTAATTCTGCAAAGTGAAGTCTCTTTAATAAGGTAACAGACTCACTGAAGATGGTGAAATGCAGAAAACCATCTGACAGACTAGCACAGCGAGAATAGGCCGACCGTGAATATCCTATTTTTCCTCTGTATTCATTGATGTGAAATGTTTCCAGTTTATTTATTTTTTATATAGTTTAATATTTTATGTTAGAACCCATTTTATTTTATTTTTTCAAATTCTCAAATTAAAAGAAGAATCCTTTATTTTTGTATTTCATTTTATAAAACTTTTAACATGGTTTTAATTTTAACTGTAAGTTTTTTTCAGGCGGTGTTTTACATAAGAACTAATTTTCTACATTTTTACATTCGCAAATGTACAGGAATTTACTTGCGTATATTTCATACTATCAGCTTTAGAGAAAGAGTTAATTTGAAATTAAAATGGGTTAATATGTAATTACAAAGGGTTGATTTGAAGTTAAACAAGGTTAATTTGAAATTAAAACAGGTACATTTGAAGTTAAAAATTAAAAAGGGTTATTTTCAATCTTTGAAGTTGGAATAAAAAAGGATAATTTGAAGGTAAATAGGGTTAATTTGAAATTTAAAATAAGGTTAATTTGAAGTTAAAAATTAAAGAGAGTTAATTTGAAATAGGATTAATTTGAAGGTAAATAGGGTTAATTTGAAATTTAAAATAAGGTTAATTTGAAGTTAAAAATTAAAAAAGCGTTAGTTTGAAACAAAAAAAGTTAATTTGAAGTTAAAAAGGGTTAAGTTGAAATTAAAAAAAGGTTAACGAAGTTAAAAATAAAAAAGAGTTAATTTGAAATAAAAAAGTTTAATTTGAAGTTAAAAATGGTTGATTTGATAGAAAAAAGCTATAAATTGAGAACTAACTATGAGTGTTAAAACAAAGAAACAAAACAACAATAACAATGTCTATGCAAAAATAAAAATTCAAATAAATGCACAAAAATGAATTCCAACGTCAACAAGCTGGATTTTGTGTCAACAAGCACTATTAAATTTGAGTCAAAAGAACACACAAGTTAAATTGTTACCAGTTAAATTATTTAGTGTGAAATGTTCACTATGATCTCCGTGTAGAAGAAATTTAAACTTTTGCTTAATATCTAAATCAAAAGCTTCGATAGAAGTAATAAAAGAGTTACGAGGCACATCTTCAGGAACTTGGATCTTGTAGACAGACTTTTTGCATTGAGGTTTTTCATCTAGAAAGCACAGTTGTTAGCTTGTTTAAAATTTTTTAGACAATTTTAGACTTTTTTTTATAAATTACCATTGACATCTGTCACTTCCACAGCGATCTTAGTCAATGCTGTAAATTTCCCATCAGTGGCTAATATCGTTAACATATAGTTGTCTATGTATTCCCTATCGAGTGATCTTGTCAGGTAAAGTACGCCTGAGCTATTGACATTGAAATTACAGTCATTGTCACCAGCGATGACAAAATATTTGAGAGGTAGCTCAGAAGAGTCTATGTCACTTATTTGTAAGGATAGTAATGGTGTACCTATATGAACATCTTCTGCCACTAGACAGAAAAAATAAAACAGTTAGTATATTTTTAAATAAAAGATTTAGAACATTTTCACCTGATATGTTCCAAAGTTGTTTTACAAATGATGGTGGGTTGTCATTAATGTCAATAACGTGAATGTTAATCGTACATTTTCCGCTTAACGCTGGACTACCATTATCAAATGCAACCACTGTCAATGTATATTCTGTTTGCTTTTCCCAGTCAAGAGGATTCAGTGTCAAAATCCATCCTGTCGATCTGTCCAGAGTGAAATGTCCCATCCCGTCTTCAAGCCAATAATGAATTTCTCCATTCTTTCCTTCATCAGCATCATTAGCTGTTACTATTAAGAAAGAATAATTTAATATAATATTGCCATTAATAAATAATATAATATTGTTATTAATTATATAATAATATAAATAACATTTACCTTTCATCACTGGTGTACCTTCTGCTGTGCCTTCGACAATATAAGCGTTGTATTCTTTGGTTTCAAAAATTGGCTGATTGTCATTCATGTCCAAAATGTGCAATGTAATGTGATACGTAAATGCGAATGATGGATTGGTTACTGTCTCACAGAGTATTGTGATCCTGTGAAGAGCTCTTTCTTCACGGTCTAAGTGTTTCTTTGTAGAAACCTGTCCTTCTTTATTTATTTCAAAAATCATCGATTCATTACCAAGTAGGGTAAAATTTACGTTTATTTCACTGTTTGCATTTAATTGGGTTATTATTGATCCTGTGGTGACAAAAAAAGAAAAAGATTATATGTTTTCAAAGGCAATTTTTATATTTCTTTAAAACCTGGTGCAGCCGCTTCAGACATGAAGAATGTGTGTGATTTTTCTTTGAGAAAGAATGATGGAAAACTGTTTGAAGTGACAATAATTGTAACAGATACATCACTGAAAAAAGACGGGCTTGCTGTATCTGTCGCCCTTACAAAAAACTGATATGCAGCATCATCTGGAAAAAAAAAATTAATAAACTTTTTTTTGCTTCTTAATAAACTAGAATTACTTTGCGACTCAATCGATGTTGTTAGTGTAATTTCTCCAGTTGTTTCATGAATTGAAAATATTCCATTGTGCTTTCGATTCGACAAAATAGAGTAATTTATTGTACTTTCATCCATGTCTGTTGCATGTACCTAAGAAAAAAATATGTATATTAACATATTTTATCTCGATATAATTGATATAAGTTTTCAATATTATAATTTTGCATTGAAAACATCAGAGATAAGGCCATAAAAAAATCTTTCTACATAAAAAAATGTATATTATTTTTTTAATTTTCTGCTGACATATTTGTTTACATATTTTTTTCTGGAAAGATCCACTAAGAGTCATCTGCACCATGGAACTAGGAGGGTATAAAAGATCCAAAGTGGATGCAGGCAAACTACATGAGCCAAGAAGCCAGAAAGAACATATAGAAAAGCCCCACCTACTTACAGTGGTCCTAAATCCTGATTTGTTAACTTCAGCAGTTATTGAAGTCAATACTATAGTTAGCAATACAGTGTTTCAGATTTTATCAATCAGATAGGCCATTGTTACAAACTGGAACAATTTTGCAATATTTTATATTGAAAATCTCATAATATTTCATATAGAATTTGGAAAAGTAGTCCGTTATATGTTTTCACCATGACCATGATATGCATAAAATGACCATTAAATGACTCTTGGTGGTTCTAAAATGCTCAATTCTTAGTCTACTCAAAACAAGCACACCTTTGTGGAAGTTGTGATTGCCTGTAGTTTGTTTCCGATCGGGTAACATTTTTTTACCATTGTGAAAAAATATTTTCTTTAAAGGTTACAATGAAGTCACCACTGGTTACTTCCACAATGGGTTGTCATATTTTAGTGGCTTCTCAGCTGCATCACACCTTTCATTGTCGGGGAGTGATGAGGGGTCTATAGGAAAGTTACTTGCTTTTGCTGTTGCCGTAGGCATCTCAGAGCTTAAAAGGCACAGCAATATTGATAAAATGGTTCAAGGACCATCCATGGATATCTTTTTTAAAACTTTAAAAAAATATTATTTCTCATAGCAACCTGAAGAGTGAACTATATGTCCTGTAGCAACAAAGAAATAATTAACTTCATTGGCTGAACATACCACCCACCAAATTTTTTAACAAACAATTTCCTAATTTAGAAGATAAGGCAGTAAGTGGGAAAGAGTGTTAGGAGTGTGTTTATATATGCCCTTTAGCATTTAACAGAGAGGAATCTTGTTAGTTCATCTCGACCACTCGCAATTTTACTGGGGGAGGTCATCCTCGTTCAACAGGACCAAGGTTCCTTCTGTAATTTCGATTTCAGGTATCAAATTTTAGGTTTCATCCAGAAAACGCTTTTGTTTTTAGAAACTCCTATCTATATATGAAGTTAGTTGAGGTGGCTTTATTATATTTGAGGGTTAGACGCCATGTGCTAAAAATATATTTATTCGTAAAATTGATTAAGTGATAGAATATATTAATTTTATAATCTTACTTTTAGAAATGGAGTGTTCATAGAAGTATTTGCAAATATTGTGGCAGAATAAGCTGGCGATGAAAATACAGGTGGATTGTCATTGGAATCCAAAAGAGTCACACATACTGTTGTAAATCCTGTGCGTTTTCCATTGTCTATTGCAAGTACGATGAATTCATAATAGCTTTTTGATTCTTTGTCAAGAGGTAATTTTGTTTTAATTTCACCTGGGAAAAAAAAAAATTGCACATTGCATTGGTGGATTTAGCATAAAAATACAAACCGGTCTTCTTGTTGATGTTAAATACACGTAGGATTTCTTGCGATGGTATTTCATACTCGATTAACCCAAACATATCAACATCAGCATCTTCAGCATGAAGCGTAATAACGTGAGATCCGGGAACAACGTTTTCTTTAATTGTCACCTCGTGAATTAATTTGTCGAAATAAGGATTATGCTGATTAAATGGGGTAATGTTGATGTCAAGATGAGTTGTTGTAGTGTAAACACCGTCGCTAACTGATATATTTAAAGAGAAATCGTGTACAGATATATTTTTTGGATTTGCAACAATAAGAATGCCTGAAAATATTAAATTTATAAAATAAGGACAAAATTCTATTGCTTTGATGTAATTTACCATTCTCTTTATCCAGATGAAAAGCGTGATTATAATTCAATAATGAATACTTAAATTTTGTAACATTTGCTGTATGATATGCACGTATAAATGACACAAACTGACCACGTGTTACATCTGAACCATACAGTAAGCCTTCTATAGGTTGAATAACTTGTGGTGCTGTGTCCAGAACATCAATAACTAATGAAATAATAATATAATTAATAACAATATATTTTACTTTTATTACAAAACTATTCACTTTCCTCACTAGGGAGGAAATCAAAAAGATTTAGGAGTCTTGGAGGATTGTTGAAGAGGGTTTGAGATGAAAGGTGTCGGACTATGGGGTTCAGATCATGGTCGAAGGTTTTATGGATGTGTCCTTATCGAATTATTATTCTTTTGAGGACAAATGGGACCTGAATCCAGCTTATTTTCCAGCTGTTGGCAATTAACGAAATCCCAATAAGATTGCCCATAGCTAAGAAAAAGCAAAATTCAGATGGGACCAGATCTGCAGAGTATCGAGGGGGTGGTAGGGACTACCTAACCAAACATCATTATCACCCCCTCTCGCGTTGTCTTATTTAAAAATTACACCTTTTCTGTTCACAAGAGTTGTTTCTGAGACGGCAAGTGATACTCATAGTCGGCTTGAGTAGATTTCCATGGTGATGGCCATGTGGCAGGAGTTAGTACTGCACAGTGCCTGCCGTACTCCACCAAACACAAACACCTTTTGTTGGTGAATATTTGGTTTTCATGCCAATGGAACAGGGTTATATGGTGGACAGCCAATGGTATGACCCTCCTGGTGTTACTGTTCAAGATCCATCTTTCATTGTATGTGACAATCTGATCAAAAAACGTCTCTACTTTGTGCCGTGAAAGCAATAAAAAGCTGTTTAAATGCTGACGTTTGTTACAATTAATTTATGAGAAACACTCATGGGTGGGTCTTCCCAGTATGCTACTGACATGTTTGACTTGAATCAAGATTGATGCTTTACTAATTCATTGTCATTCAAGACAAATCTACCAGACCTTGGTTCATCTTCAATCCCCTCATTCCCAGAAGCTTTTAGAACCATTTTTGGGAAGTCCTCTCACTGTTTCATCACTGAATGCAATGGAAATTTTACAAGCTGCCTCGGATGCCCTAGTAAGTATGTGTGAGCTTAAATCTATACAGTAAGCACACACGAATTATGGGTTTTAAAGCCATGAGAAAGGAACTCTTTTTTAATTTACAATGAACTGTTCAAGTTTTTGTTTCTTTATGAACTGGTGCATTATGCTCTACTATTCTCTCTAGTATTAACAATAACAAACAATAACAGATGAACAACTGCACAATTTTTTCTGGTTACCTGGTATATGTAAACTCATTTATACATAATATATAACATTAAAACACACAAAACAGAAGAAAAGTTCTAAAGAAATTACCATTTATCCAAATGTGAGCAGTTGACGATAAAGGAGGTGAACCTGCGTCGATAGCTTTTACAACAAAATGGTGTTTCTTTTTTAATTCATAGTTAAGAGGCTTTTTAAGAAATATTTCACCAGTTTCAGAACGTATATGAAAGAAGTTCATTGATTCACTTTGATCAGGATCGATCACATACCGAACAACCCCTGCCATGCCTGGAGGCAAAAAATTGTAAATTAAAATATATAAATACAATGAAAAGTTTTACCTGTGTCATTATCTTTGGCTTCAATTTGAGTGATTAAACCTCCAATAGATAACGTCTTGATGACAGATATGTTATAAATTCCCATCTCAAAAATTGGAGCGTTATCATTAACATCACTGATGTACAAATGAAGAAGAACGTTGGAAAATTTGTTTGTAACGGCATCAGTCGCTTTCATCGTTAGCGTGTATTTTTTTGTGTCTTCATAATCAAGCTTAGTCTGGACTTTAACAACACCTGAAAATAGAAATTAATCAGAAATTAATTGTTTTATACAGTTAATTTTTAACGATTTACTTACAAGGACTAGTCCCAGCATAAGATCCTAAAGGAAAAAAAAAAGATTAAGCTTGAGAATGTAAATTAATAAAAAAAAAAAATTACCTGCACCAAATGTTACATAGAAATCTTCATATAAATCGCCTTCTTCGATTGAGTAAATTATATCATTATTTAAAGGGGAAAGTGCTTTCAGGGTTAAGGGGATCGGTGAATGTAAAGGTATATTTTCTGGTATAGTGGTCTCATAACTCTGTTCTTCAAAAACGGGCGTTTCCTCATCGAGTACAATAATGTCAATTTTCATTTTATTTGAACAAGGAGGGATTCCTGTAAGAGATGAGTTGTTGAATATTATCTGAACCTGTAGGTGTAAATTAATTGTACCATTGTCTCGAATTGTTGCTACTAAATTGTACTCTCTGACTTGCGCTGGTAACTGTTGCCTTAGAGTTATGTTACCAGATTTTGTGCATAGTTTAAAATACTCAGAATATCTTTCAAATTCATAGTGTATTTCTCCATTTTCCCCTTTGTCATAATCAAACGCGATTATCTGAATAGAGTAAAATAAAGAGCATAAAACAAATCTTTTAAAAAAATTAATGGTGAAAGTGTGTCTTACTTTTCCAATAAAATGGTATTTTCTTGCAGAAACAGAAACTACTGCTATCATATTTTGATTTGCAATAATTGGACAGTTATCATTTATATCGAGCACAGTTATATTTACCTCAGTTCTTGCTATTCTTTTCGTTAATGAACTTTCAGCCTGGAAATTTGGTTTAGTCTTAAAGTTTTTTTATATTTTTTTTTTTAAATCTCATACTGACGTACTTGAATGATAAATTTATAAAATTCTTTCTTTTCCCTATCAAGTGGGATTCCAGTTGTTCTAATCGCTCCTGAGATCTCGCCAATTGAAAATTCTGGCGTTGGATTCAAAATGGAAAATACTATATGTTCATTTAAATCAGTTCCACTAACACTGACGACGACTACTGTAACAATTTGAGTACTATTTTCTAAAACAGCACCAAGGTAGCCGCTCTTTGGAAAGATTAACCCTTTAGGATAATTGTTTGGAATCTGCATCCAATTAATGTAAACAAATCTGCAAAATTTTAAAATTACATACTTCTTTCCAACTTGGTGGTCATATTTATTAACTTACGCTTCAGTTTTATACTTTCCATCAGTTACAGCTACCCTTAATTTTTGAGATGAAAGACTCAATTTTGTTTTATCTTTTACTGTAATTAAACCAGTTGTAGCGTTGATGGTGCAAATTCCGTTCTTATTACCATCAACTATGGAGTACTCGAGTTTCGTTGAACCTTCAGAATCTGCATCTGTTGCATTCAGCTAAAGAAACAGTAAAATTAAAAATATTAAAAGATTTGTAAGTGAATTCAACTCTATTTTTGTGTGTTTTTATTAGATTGGTCTGCGAGTATGAACATGAAAGTGGGACGAATTTGTGTAACATCAAACCCGCATATACCCATCTAAAGTTTAAAAGCGACATTAAACCTAATCTTACTCGAATAATGGTAACATCGTCAAAAGTCGGCCACAGCATTGTTATATTGTATTGTGACTGTGAAAAAATTGGAGGAGAATCGTTGACATCAATAACCGACAAATGAATTATTGCTGCTGTGTCTGAGGTCAGTCTTGGAATACCTTTGTCAGTTACAATCAAACTAAGTGTCATGTTCGGTGTCTTTTCATAATCCAAACAAACTACGGTTCGGATAGCTCCTGAAAAAAACACAAATCCGTTTAGAACAAATACACAAAAGTTAATCGACAGGGTTACCTGTATTCGAATCAATGTGAAACATGGAAGAGTTATTGTGTGTTAAAAATTGGTAATTCAAAAGGGCATTGATGTGATGATCTTTATCAGATGCCAAAGGAATAAGGGGTTTTCCATCGCTGTCCAATATAAAAGAGCCAACGTCAGCGCTCTCAAGTATCCAAGCGTTCCATTCAGTTTTTAAAAATTGAGGCATATTATCATTTTGGTCAAGAATATAAATGTAAACTTTGCATACATTCGTCCCTCCGACCTTTAATAAGTTGAATTTTTTGATTGAAAGAAAATCATACAAAAATTAATTTGTATAGAATTTTTGTTTACCATGTTAAAGGCAGCTACAGTTAAATTGTAGCTTTCTCTTATTTCTCTATCTAGTTCATAATTTGTTGTTATTGTGCCAGTTGTTGGATTAATTTTAAAAGACGAATCAACATTTCCATCTGTGATTTCAAACATGAGACCCCATCCATGGGCTTCCAACTGAATTACAAATGATCCAGGCAGAGAGTTCTCATATATTTCAGCACTGAGCTCTTTGTATTGAAACCTTATTAAACAAAAAAGACAAGAAAATTATCATACGAAAAGTTACGGCATGTCCAAAAACTTACTTTGGTGGTATATCACCTGGTGCTGAAATCAAAATGTGCACTGGTAAAGTATTGTGTAATTGTTCAACCCCTGAATCTGCTGCTTTGATAATCAACGTGTACTGAAATAAACTGCTACTGTCTAGTAATTTAGCCAGGGTCAATTCTCCCAAAATGCTATCAATCTTGAATTTCTCTCCATCATTACCTAAATAACAAAAATGTAAAAAAAAAAAAAATTACTTATTAGTTTAGTAATGGTAGTTAGAAAATAATTACCAGACAATATACTATATCTGACTGTTCCATTTTCCATCTCATCCATGTCTGTAGCAAGAATAGTGGCAATTTTTGTGCCTACAGTCGAGACGCTGTAAACTCTTGTGTCTAAGACGTCGACGCTAAACTCTGGCATGTGGTCATTCACATCCGTTATATTTATGTTAATTCTGGCAAAATCCCGTCTGGCAGGTGTACCACCATCACTCACAGCAACAGTTAGGACATGATAAGCCATCGATTCCCTATAATGATTGTTTTAATACACTAAACTTTGAACAATATATGAATCAATTATAATGACAAAACTTTGGAATAAAGAATAGTTGATTTACACACATAGAATTTATAATTAATCATCAATTTATAACAATACCTATCCAGTGAGTTCGTTACACTTAAAGCTCCCGTCTCATAATCGATGCTGAACAATTTCAATGACTCCTTGCTTTGTGCATTTATTATATGATAAATAAATTTCGAGTTGTAATCCTCATCTGTTGCACTAATATTTAATATAACTGTTCCTTTTCTTGTACACTCGCAGATAGCCAAATTGTACTCAGTTAAAGATAACTTGGGCGAATGTTCATTGACATCAAGCACTTTGATAAGTAGCTACAATATTGTTTAATAAAAAACAATTATAAATGTTATGGAAAATTGAAATTTATTACCTTAGTATATGCAGTGTGAACACCATCCGTAACACTGACTGTTAAATTATAACTACTTTGAGTCTCTTTGTCCAATTTTTTAGCAATAACAACATTTCCTTTATCTCTGCCGATGCTAAAATAGTTCATGTCATCACCACCTATTAAAAAAAAATAAAAAGAATTATGCTATGTTAATTAACATAGTCATACAATCTTACTTGTTATGTTATAGTATAAATCAGTGCTGTCAGAATCGGTAGCTTGTGCCAACCAGACCATATATCCGATTTCATCAGATTCCATCAGCTCGATATATTGATCAGTGGTTTTAAACACAGGTGAATGACTTGATGAAACAGGCACACCAACAACTTTGATTGTCACCCTGGCTGTAGAATTCTTCCTTGGTTTTCCATTATCAGAAGCCATTACCTGTATAGAAAATATGTCAATAACGTAAAAAGTATAAACTTAAATAAACCAGAATCAGTTCCTACTTTAATATTATAAAGATGCCCTCTTAATAAAGGCTTCTCGGCATATATTATTCCAGTGGATGGATGTATGGAAAATCTTCCTTTTCCTTTTCCAGCATTTAGGCTAAAATTTAATATTCCTCCTTCTCCGATATCTTTGTCTGATGCAATAACCTAATAAAGAATATGAATAGTTAGATGGATTTTTTTTTGTGGGGGAGGGGAAGGGGAACTAACGGAAAAAACATTACCCTAAAAATTTGTACTCCTGAATTTTGATGAGACGGAAAGTTTTCCCACGCCCCAAAAAACTCATCTGAAATTGTCCCCTCCTCATAACTTTCATCATCCTGAACAAAGATAATCATAGCACATAATAAAATATTGAAAAGGAAATTTAATCCCCACCATAAATCTTTAGGAAAAGGTTCAATTTTTTATGTTCTATGTTCAAATTCTATGTCAACTCACCTGGATTAGAAACAAATTTGAAGTCTTAACTTCTGGAACTGTCACATGATAATAGGACTGATCAAATTCTGGATCATTGTCGTTTATATCTTTCACCCTAATAATGACACGTACTATCGATGCCAACGTTGGTTCCATGCTGTCTCTTATTTCAACCTTAAAAAAAATTGAAAATTAAGAAGTAAAGAATTAAGAATTATAATTAAGAAATAAAAGAATTAATCTATCATTAATCTTACTTCAAGTAAATATTCATCCTTTATTTCTCTATCAATCTTTCTCCCAGTTGTTTTGATCAGCCCTGAAAAATAGTTAATGAGTATTTATTTTTATTTTTTGTTATAACGGTAATACCTGAAGTCTCATTGATGCTGAAGTAATTAAGGTCATTTCCACTTTTTATAGAGTAAGAAAGAGTGGATTTTTTCAAATCTGCATCCATTCCTAACACTTGTACAACACTCATTATTTCTGTCGACTCTTCCAATACCCAGGCTTCATAAATTGGCTTCACACTCATAGGAAAGTTGTCGTTGATATTTTCAACTTCAACATAAACCTATAGAAAAAAGAAAAAAAGAAAGTTTTTTATATGCTAAAGATGCAGAAAATGCATTTATTTGGAACACTGTCCTACTGGGTTAGATTCTTTTACCATTGGGGTTTTCTGACATCCTTGTCAACACAAGTTAATTGAATTGATGATTGTTGTATGAATGATTCTCAAAAAGGTTAAAGAATAATTAAAGTTTTTTGGTACTTTTATTTTAACTTTTACATAATACAGACACAAATTTAGATAACTTGTAATTACTATTAAAGAGTTATTATTTATTAGTTATTAAGGCATACTCCTCCTGCCATCCTACTTGGATCCATCTTCAATGCTTGGAAACTTGAAAATGAAATTTGCTCTATTTATAAAATAATTGTAATTTTTAGTTTGTTATGTTTTGTGTAATATATATNGTTTAATTTGTGATGGTTTGTTGAATTGAATGGGTCTTTGTGTAAATTCGTGTGGTTTGAAATTTTGTTTATGATTTGTATTTTGTCTATGTTGTTGGATCGGTTGTTGGTCTATTCTCTGCATGTACTGGAAGTCGTTTAACATTAACTTTTCAATGTCTGACAAGGTCTTAGGATTCCTAGTGGCTAGGTTATTTCTTAAAGGGTCTCTAAGACTACTTATAAAATTGGTGGCCACTACTTGCTCCTGAAATCTTATCAAATATAATTTTTCGTTTTGTGTACCGTCTTCTAGCTGTATTTTAGCTTGGAATAAATCCAACCTTTCCTTAATTTCATTTAATGTTCGCAAAGGGGATTTTACATTTAATTTCAACAGGTCAACCAGGATACTAGCTGGACCCTGCCTGTCTCCAAATTCAGTTTATAAATGTGATTTTAATGTTGACCAATCTTGGAAATTTAAATTTCTTAAATGTTCGTTGGCCTTATTTACTAGTTTACCTTTAATATGCATAAAGCATATCGTTTTCTGAGGGTCTGATATTGGAGGTACTAATTCGGAAACGATATGTTGCACTTCTTCAACCTTCATAATAAACTGTGTTAGTGTTTTTGGGTTGCCATCATAAGTGGGGATGGCATCCAAAATAAATCTTATTATAAAAAAAAATTTAAACAATTTTACAATAATAATAAAAATTAATTGCTAAATTAAATTGTGAAACCAAGAGTTTTATAACATGCGATACAATTTGTTTACTCACAAAATTTAAATCATTTCTGACTAGTTCGTATTCATCGAACCCAAAAAGTGTCCTACCGACTGCGCCAGTTATGTGCGAGATTTAGACGAAAGACTTTTTAAAAAAGAATTTTTATTGCCAAATAACACACAATGGTTACAGAGAATAACTTTCCTATTCACGGTACAGATTATTCTATAACAATTAAATATTTGGATCTTTACTGTCCGTTAACTGTCCTGTAACTAACTACGAATAAGAAGCTTATCTAATGGGAACAATTGAAAGAAGGGGCAATTGTTGAGTCCATACGTTCCTAGGCACTGAGATAAGTATTGTTTAAAAGAAGTCTCGTTATTAAAACAGCGACGTAACTCCTCCACCCCTAGATGAAACATTCGGAGAATGTTGGTTTTCGGAGGCGGCAGCTGCTGCAAGTTGCTGTCGTGCGAAGATATACCGGGTGATTCCATACCCAGATAATAGTAGGATGAGTCCATACAGGAGGATCGTCCATATACTTATCGATGTAGTGATGATCGGTTTTGCAATAGCTGGAGACAAATGTTGACTTTCTAGTTGGTTCAATTTGACATGCTTTACATTGACCGTAAATCGTGGCTGTTGTTCCTCTTTCAAACTAAGTTTCACTTCGTTGAGGAACTTTGGATGTCCAGAAGTATGTAAAAAATGAAGAAGCTGTTTATTTTGAAATGTTACATTACTTGATGTAGTATTTATTAAGAATATTCCATGTAGGCTTCTAGATATTGTGTCCCCATGTGTCGTTATTGTAACGATTTCTTCTTTGGGATTTATTTATTTAGTGTACCTACCAATGTGAAGTATTTATCTTTATATGTACTACACTCATTGTGGGTATTTGCCTGTTAATAAATAAATAATAATAAATATTCTTAAAGCCAGTCAATTAATCTTAACATTCCACTTGCTAATAATTGAAATAAAAATATCTGGAGAAAGAATTGCAGTGTTCTGAGGCCTGATTGTGTAAAAACTCATGCTTCACATTTGCATCTCTGCTTTATGGAAAATTTTTGGGGAAAAATAATGGGTATGTGACTTAAATCGACCCTAACCCTACCTAGCCTAACCATTCCTAACCTAACCTAACCCAGGGGCACTCCCAGGTAACAAGAAATCATTGATACAAAAATGGCCACACAAAAAAATTGTATCGCTTGAAGGCCTAGTTTCCAAGTTAACTCGTGTTGGAGGATCAGCTTATTTGTTTTAAAGTCTCCTGCCACTAGGAGGTATAATGGCTCTAACCATTTTCCCTTGTATTTCCTTTTTTACAATGTATGTATCAGATTAATTATTAAATAAACTTTAACTAACTAACTAACCAACTAAATTAACTAACCAACTAACTTAACTAACCTAACTTAACCTAATCCAATCCACACTCACACTGGATTATAAGAAATCATTGATCACACCAAAAAGTTTGTTCATCCAGCCCAAAAACATATCCATGTTATTAAAAACTATGTTTGAAGGTGGTATAACAAAATATTGAAATTTAATCCACACCATAATTCTTTAGGAAAAGGTTCAATTTTTTATTAAATTATATATCAACTACCCGGATTAGAAACATGTTTGAAATCTTAACTTCTGAAACTGTCACATGATAATTGGACTGATCAAAATAAACTTTAACTAACTAACTAATCAACTAACTAATTTAACTAGCCTAACTTAACCTAATCTAATCTACACTCACACTGGATTATGAGAAATCAATGATCACACCAAAAATTTTGTTCATCCAGCCCAAAAACATATCCATGTTATTAAAAACTATGTATGTTTGAAGTTGGTAACTGAACAAATTTGTGCAGTGAAAGGTGAATGAGAAGTTTTTAGTTGAGATGTTTCAATAATTGGATACTAGCCTTTAAAAATGACTTGATCAGTGGTCACTAACGCTAAATTAGTCAACTAGTTCAAGCCAGAATGTATGTGCTGACACTTGCAGAATATCAGCCACAATTGAAGCTTAAGATGCCAATGTAAGCAGCTTTCTTAGGAAATGTGGTGCCCACTAAAAATTAACCTCATAATATATCTAAGGCCCAAACCCAAACGTGCTTGTATATATTTGTTGCAAAATCCAAATAACAAACAAGTGATGAAAAAACGATAATATCAAAAAATCCTATTAACCAAATGATTTAACTGGACTTGCTAAATTGGTTTGGAAAACAGTGAAACTATAGAAATATTTAGCACTTGAGGTTGCTACTCAGAACCGAGTTACTAACTCAGATATTCAAAAACTCAATGAAGCATATTTTCATAAAACAAGACATTGCTACTGCACTCTTTTGCATTGAACGGAGGCAAAATTTGCACAAATTGGTGCCTGCAATTGCCTCACTTTCATTATAACCTTGACATCACATCATATGACTGATTTTGTTTATATGTTCAATATCATAAAGAGAAAAACTATTCACATGAGTCATTAAATATTAAAAATTGAAATCAGAAATCAGTCAAAATTGAATTTTATGAGGTAGGAATCACACATTTTTGTTGAAAAGTATTATTATAAATTAAATGATTATTGACACTGTTTTTAAGTTTAAGTCAACTTACATGTAATGTGGAGTGTAGTGGCACTACGCCATGGTCCTCGCATATTATAGTCAGCCAGTATGAATATTTAGTTTCCGCATCCAAAATTTTCCTTGTTCTTATTTCACCTGAAAAAAACCCAAAACAAAACAGATTTTAGATAATTGTCTAATAAATCTCTTTTGTATTAAGATAAATATGATAAATTTTTATTAAGAATAATTTATAGAACCATATTGAATTTGCTATCAACTTTTTTGATCCAAATATGAGTTATGTAATTATTTTAATATCATGTATTCTTCTTATGTTACTTATGTACCTATTGGTATAATGAACATAAAAATAAATCTGAATTTTTTTCAATTTATATTTTTGGTTTACACTCCTCTTAACATAGCAAAATGCCATAATGAAACGATCAGGAACGACTTCTGAGAGGCATTTAACACTAACCAGACAAAGATCTTTCAGCTTTATAACTTTTAGCTTTAAGCTTTCATTATTAAATAGAATAACTAGGCTATGAAATATTTTGCCAGTAGAAACTCACCGGAGGACATTTACCACAGAATGCATAATGTGAAACATACAATGAGAATATAGACAGAACAAAATGATCAAACCAAAAGACAAACGTTTTTACATCAATTTCAGATGTTTTTTTTAATTTAATTGTCTCTGAGGAGGTACTCAATGGATCAGGTCTTTAGAATCTGATAAATGATGTAGTTTTTTAAGTTTCATAAAATCCATTGTCTAGCTATAGTCGGCAAACCTTATGGTCAGTCATTCATTTTAAAATGCAATCAGTGATTGAGTAAAAAATATACAAGCTGTCAATTTTAAAAAACTAATATTTTATATTGTTAACAAAGTTAACGATTTACGTGTTCTATTAATTTCGATTGAAGGTGTAGTTTTAAGGTTAAATCATAAATGAAAAAACTGTTGAGGATTAGCTTATCGGTGTGAACAAAACTTATCCTATCTAATCTTGTATAATCTAACCCATCCCCACTCTAACCTAACTCAACTATACTTAACCTTACCTAATCCACCCATGCACACTCCCAGGTAACATGAAATTGATGATACAAAAAAATTTGTGATCCAGCCTAAAAACATATCCATTTTAGAAAAAAATTATGTGTCATGGTGGTATCTGAACAAATTTAAGCAATGGAGAGGTATAAGAGGTTTTTAGTTGAAAGTTTAATTGAAATTTTGGGCAAAATAATGGATATAAAAACTTAACCCTAACTCTAATCTCACCTAACTTGACCTGTCTTAACCTAACCTATGTGTAAGTCAAAAAACGTAGATGTAGATGTAGATGTAATTTTTTGGGGTATGGTATACTACGCCCTTTAAGAGGTATTGTATCCCCCGTTCTCTGCCTAAATCACATCGGTGAGTCCTATTTCATAAAGAAACTTGATTAATAGGCCCGGTTTCCGTGGTTGAAGCTCTTCTATGGTCACATTATACATCCCAAAACATTTCCTCCTGCGGGCTAATGTAGCTCCGCAGTTTGTTAGTAAATGTGTGGGTGTCTCTTCTGCCTCCTTGCAGAATCTGCATGTGCCATCTTGGATTGTTCCAATTTTCTTTAAGTGTCCATTTAATCTGCACTGTCCTGTTAGGAATCCTGTTAGGATTCACAGTCTGTTCCTGCTTCCTGTGACACATTGTGATTTCTTTCTTACCAAAATTGGTTAGAAGATTCTTGGATTGTTTATGTCCAATGAGTGAATTCCATTGTTCCTTCATTTTCTTTTTGTCCTTCTGTCTGAGATATTCGTTAATAGTGTGGATTCCTATGCCACAGAAGGGTTCGTGTCCTATCAGCGGTGTGGCAGCCCCTTTCCTTGCAAGGGTGTCCGCTTTCTAGTTGCCTTCTACTCCCATGTATCCTGGGACCCAGCAGAGGCTGACTTTATTCTGCATACCTTATATGTTTAATTTGGTTTTGCAGTTCATCAGCACCATCCTTGAACTAATGATACTTGAGCTCAGTGCTTTGATGGCTGCTTGGCTATCTGACATGACAGCTATATTCTTTAGTCAAAAAACGTATAATAACTATGTACTATAACTTAATAACTATTGGTTATTGCTTAATAATAGTCAAAGAAGTATTAGTTATTAAATTTTTCAATTATAGAAATACCTCCACCTGAGCGTTAAAACTTAACCCTAACCTAACATAACTCAACATGTCCTAACCTAACCATGTGTTAGTAAAAAAAAAACTTAACCATGTTAATAAAAAACTATGTATGAACAAATGTAAGCAGTGAAACGTGAATAACCGGTTTTTAGTTAATTTGTTTCAAAAGAGGGATACTAGCCTTTAAAAATTACGTGATCAATGGTCACTGAAGCTAAATTAGTCAAGAGTTGAAGCAGAGTTTGCTAGTTGACACTCTCAGAATATAGGCCATAACTGGGGCATCAGATGCTGCTGCTGCTGCTTTTTTAGTGAATGTGGTGGTCTCATTATTTGTCTGAGTCCCAAAACAAAATGTGTTTGCATATATTTGCTTTGAAGAGATGAGAAAAGGATATTTTCAAAAAGTCCTATTGACCATAAGCAGAGGGCACATGATTAAATGGTTCTATCACGCTTCCCAAGATGAAACATAGGTATGAAAGTGGAATGTGATGTCCACCTAAGATTAACTTCATGATTTGTCTGAGGCTCAAACCAAAATTTGCTGATTGCTTTTATCTTTTTTAAGGGGAGAACATCACTGAAAGGTAAAAAAAAAAATTTTTGTTTTTTGATTTTATAAACAACTACAACTCTTTCTGGACATTCTAACACCAAAAGCACATATTGCTGACAACCATAAGTATTTTTATTTTATTTTTAAACAGTTTTGGTATGGAGCTATCGCGTCAGGAACTCTCACGGTACATTATCTCTTACGGATTATAAGCACCTACATATGCATATTTACTGTAACAGCAAACACACACAAAACTCAGAAAAAACCCACTAAAACACTAAAATCATTTGCAAAATACAGTAAACAAAGCGTTTACCACCATGACAAATAGTAAACCCTCCTAGAAGTAGAAGTGAGAAAACGTAAATAAATATCAACAAGCCGTTGGGGGCTTAGATTTTGAGAAAATCAATCGTTTTCAAAAATGTCATTTTTACGAATCATTCCCCTAAACTACTGTAGCTATGAGAGAGAGTATTTTTGTACAAGTAGTCAAACATTAGCTGCATAGATAGACGAGGGCTTTTCTCGAAATACTTCACAGGTAACAGGAAAAAATCCCAAACATTAAAAAAAAAGGTATTTTTCCCCTTCTGTTCAAAACGGCCTAATTATTTTCTTTCAGTTTGATTTAAAAATCTCTCCTATCGATGTAAACCCTATCGAGAACACTTGTGCAAAGTTCAGTTAATTTAGTCGGAAATTTTTGAGAAAAATTCCCTAGTAGGGTGGAAAATAGCGTATTTTTGTGGGAAAAAAATGAAAATTTCATAGCTTCATAAATTAAATTCTTCCAAATATAGTTCTATTTTACATTTATATATTTAGAAAACTGTGTAAAACGAGTATATAAAGATTCAGAAAGATTGTAAAAACGACAAATGAAAAAATTAAAATTAAAAAGTTGCGTGTGTAGAGATTAGTGACCGTTAATCGATAGTTATTCAGATATCGTGAGATGCGGTCAGGTGTGANGAAACCTACATCACACCCGACCACATCTCACGATATCTGAATAACTAATTAAAAAGTTGCATTTTGCCGAAGGCGACCCTTCGAAGTGATGTGTTCCCCTAGGGGACCGGTAGCCGCAATTGAAAGAAATTGACACCGCACTCATCGATGGAAGGTCTGGGGCGGGATCGTATCTCAGAGACCCTGAATTTGGTCCCAACCTCCTTCAAAAATGAATTTCTTCGATGGAAGAACACTGGCACACCGGGGTCTCAATTCACACGCGTGTTGCGAGCTCTCAAAAAATGGAGCCAGGAATAAAGTACAATAAGCTGGTACAGCTGCAGTGCTCAGAGGGACCTCCTCCTGTTCCTGGTATTTACAATTACAAAAGTATTTATTTCTTCATATGTTTATTTTTAATCGACGTTTTGATAAGCCGCTTATTGCGTTGTCTTTCTGGCGATAAATTCGGGATTTTCTACATGTGAAATGTGAAACTGTTTTTAAAATTTAGTCTGCTTTGTTTAACTTTTCCTATTGTCAACTGTTCAATAAGCAGGGTTCACTCTTGACCTTTTATTTACGCTGTGACAATTTGTCGAGAAGCTTTTGCCTTTGAATAAATATCAATGACTTATTTTCGTTGAGAAGTTATTGGACGCTTCTTTTGACGGGTTCTAATATCGAAGGAAGACTAGACTGTTCTCATTTTCTCTCTGTACAATGTCATAAACATCTCAGTTAATGTAAAGCTCATTTTGGGCCAATGCAATGGATCCCAATTAAAGTGGAAATAAATTAATAATCATAATGCAGCATTAGCCTAGTTAAGTTCGACTCCACTAATAATTAGTAGTATTAGATGAGTTAGTTTCGTCGAGCACAAGTTTCCGAACAGCTCAATCGCGTACGTTAATCAAAATTAGGACTTTCGAATACCAGAAATATCGCCTAAATATATCATGAAATAATATAAATATATATTGTACAATAATAACAGATAATAGTAATATATAATTTAAAAAATATAACAAAAGGGCTATGCCTGAAACCAAAACAAAAATAAGGTCAATTCAAAATGTTTAACTAGATTTCTCACGCATTTTAGTTTAATTACTGATAGAGTTTCTAAGTATTTTTCATCTTCTAGAAAGTAATTATACGTTTTTTTCTAAGTATCGATTCTTTTTGATATCTGCAGCTTAGGTCTGCGTATTCTCGCTGTTTTCGTCTGTCAGACACTTTTCGGCATTTTATCATATTCAGTGGGGGGTGTGATTTAAAAGGTTTCAGCTGACACACAGACCAACCTCTGAAGATCCCCAATTGGGCCTGACAGACCTTACAGAGAAATCTCCCAATTTGACAGCCAAAGGGTTCAGGACCGATGAGTACCCTGACTGAATTTCCCTTGGTGTGGCCAATCCAGCCTCTTAGTTGTTTCTCTATATGCCCTCGTACTCAAACAAAGGTAATTTTTTTGTTCCCCTATGCCTAACATGTCTTTGATGCAATCCCCAGTTCTGGATTTTCTTACCGAGTAGGTAGGCCTTTAAACTTTTTCGCTTTGTGAGTACATGGTTGTTATTATTTAACCTAATCGTAAGCCTACCTAAATAACCCTAACCCTTACCATTTCTTACCTAAGAAATAACTTTGGATTATTTCTATTTATTACTGTTCAATAAATCTTAGATTGTCAAAGAAATATTGGGTTTTAATAGTTTTCAGTAATAGAAATGCTACTACTAGCGCGTTAACTTAATCTAACCCATGCGCAAAAACCATACATACCGTATAACCTTGCTAATAAAACAAGTATATGTGAAGGTGATATCTGAACAAATTTAAGCAGTGAAAGGTTATAAGTGGTTTTTAGTTCAATGTTTAGTTGAACCCTAACTCTAACCAAACCAAATCTAACCTTACCCCCATCTAAATTAACCTTAACATTTCTTTCTTAACCATTTTTAACCTAAGCAATAACTGTGCGCTATAAATGTTTCATTTAGATAGTCAAAGAAAATTGGGTTTTAATAGTTTTTAGTTATAGAAACCAGTGCGTTAACCCTACCTAATCTGACTTGTCCTTAACCTAACTAAACCAACCCCTACCATACCTAACTTAACACGTCTTTAACCCCTACCTAACCAAAATTAGCCCTAACCCTACCTAACCTGTCCCCAACCCCACCTAACCTAACCCTCAACCCCAGCTAACCTAACCATTCCTAACCTAAGAAATAACTATGAGGTTATTTCTCAATAAATGTTAGTTAAAGAATTATTAGGCTTGTAATTAAATTTTTCAGTTATAGAAACGCCCCCACCTGAGCGTTAAATGTTCAAAAAAACTTTTCAAAAAATGTCCATATACAGGATGTTCTCATAACTACCTAACCTAAAGAGTACACTAGTAAATTGACACCATGTGCTTCGTTTGATTCTCAACTTAAATTCGTGTATAAGGTTCGTTGATGCCTAAATGTTAGCCTTATTAAACAGTTTCCCAATCGAACTTGCTTCAGGTTGATTATTCCCTGCTGAGGGTATATTTCAGATGGATTTGACTCGTTCTGTTCAGAACACCAGAGCGAATTCCAGGAAAACTATGCGCTACAGGAAAGTAAAAAAGCCCAAATGGTTAGATTTAATTAAGCATTTATTTATTAAATGTTAATTAATTTTTATTTATTTAAAAGTATACTTTTGTTTAAATCAATTTCTTTTCTGTCTGGAAGATGATAGGAAATTTCGTAAAGTATCCTATACTTTTATATAAAAATCACCAGTAATTCTACATAAATGTAAGTCAGTGACTGCTTAAACACGTCTTTTGTAGTCACATAAATGACCAACCGAGAAACAGAAAAAACCCTTTCCAACACTTTACTCTTTAGTAATAAACTTAAAGAGGACGTGAAGAAAGTTTGCCAAAGTTGGGCTTATTTCTTAATTCGGAGCTTCTCTTAGATTTGTAGGCCAATTAGGAGAGGGAAACTGTTTGTATGTGCGGCTAAGGACTTCTGAGGAGAATTAAGATTACTTGTTTTTATCTTCTCTTCTTTGAAAGTGTTTTAAATCTTAGTTTGCAACATTTACACTCAAATTGGTTTGGAATTGGGATTTGTTTTACTTTTACAATTTCAACAAGTTCGCTGATTCGATATCTGCTGGAAATTATCAAAAATTGTCGTTTTGCGTATTGTATGATTGGAAACAAAGATACACATTTTTGCTGGGAATGATTTAGAAAGAACTCTTACATGGCTAATTTCAGTTAAACGCAGCTTTCATTTGCTTCAACTTTCAACTTTCACATGCTATTTTAACCGCCAGCAATTTTTTAAAATGTTTAGCAGTCATTAAACAAAATCTAACGAATCATATATATAATATCATCATCTTCAGAAAAAAATTACTTATATATATATTCTTGGTTTATTTCAAACTGTTACCTTCTGAGCACAGAACGAAACATAACCCACAAGAGTTCGAGCTCCAGAAGTGTTTCAATTTTTTTAAAATTATTTTATTTGTATTTTTTACATATTCGTACATATTACAAATGTTATTACAAATTTTTTTACACGGCCACAACACAAACATTAATGCTAGCGCTGTAACAGGAGGACACATGGTACGAGAAACCAGCCAATGCTGGCAGAGACCTCGGGCAGTAGGTTTGGAAAGGATGGATCGAGAGGTTGATGTGTAACTTTTGGAATTGGGATCAGAACAGTTCATTGAGAAAAGGAAAGTTGAGGTCGTTGTGGCTAGTGAGGTTAGTGACGTAGTAAGGAGGGAGCGTCGACAATTTGTTTGAGGACTTTTGATTGGAAGGATTGGATGGGTGCGGAGGATAAGGGGAGGGAGATCGAAATCACTTGATGGGGTCCGTGGATTCCACAGAGTGGAGATTATGCTGTAAAGGTTGTCGGGCAAGGATTAATGAACAACCTTGCACTCGGCATCCATTAAAGTCACACCTTACGTTTTGTATGCTTTTATATGGAAAACATATTTGTTGGTAAAGTGAGTTTCTGCTACGTCTATGTGTCTTTTTTAGGTAGTACTTCGAGTTCTTGTTTGTGAGTCAATATTCCGTTTGAATTCCAGAGTAGAACTGTGAGCGGATTGAAAGGTGAGAAGGAACATGAGGGGGAGTGATCAATGATTTAAAATCGTTAAGGAAAGAAGTAAGGTGGGAAATGATATCTGTTGATGGGGCTGGTGAGGTAGTTGGTATGTAGTTGGGTGCAGGGTAGCTACTTGAGCATAGCTGGAATTGCGATGAATTTCCCCAGATAAGTGTTGATGTTGTTGGGGCAGAGGTGAGGACTTCTGTGACTGTTTTCCCAGTGTTCCTGCTTGCTGGATATGGTGCTGTCGGGTTGGTGTTTCTTTGGGGTGGGAGTCCTGGAAAGAAGGTTGATGTCATCGTTGGGGTTCTGGAACTGTTGCCGCTTTAACTTTGGGAGTCTCCTGTCTCAGCTTTCTCTGGTTTTGTAGTTCTTTGTGAGTGGTGTATCCAGGATGTGCCCCGCCGCATAGAGCACGAGTCGCAGGTGTATTAAGTGGTCTAGTGCATTGTGTAGATTGGTGTGAGCCTCTCCACCTGACACATCAGGGTGATTACAATAGGTGCGTGTGTGCTCATAATCCTGGCATCTGTAGCACTGAACGACTTTCGTGCACATTCTAGGTTCCTCCGCGTTGATTTTTTTAGAAGGTACTGAAGCTGGAATATATCCTCACTATTTTTGTAAGGTCTACAAAAAATAGGGGAAGTGGCGTTTTAGAGCTAGGGTGTAATACTCGATGCACAAAATCACTTGGAATGTTTTTTTTTCTGTACATAAAAATTTCACTTTTTTCCGATAACTTTCGCTGTCATATGTGTGGAGCAACAAGTCATTTACTCGGGAGCGACAATAAAATTTGTCGCTACCAAGTACGGCGGTTAAGTATTGACAAAATCGGTTAAAATTGTCTGTTTTTTTAATGTTTGGAGGAATTGCAGAGCTGGCACTCTCTACACCTTTTAATATTTTCATTTTTGGGGAATTTGTAGTGCTGCTGGTTTTTTTACAGGGTTTTTTCCGTGGTTCCCTAGTCTTGCCCGCCGAGGATGTGACTCACCCCAGGCATTCAAAACCGGAGTCTAATCCTCAGGGAGTGAACAGTCAACTCCAAGAGACGATCCGGAACAGAAGCAACTGCACTCCGTCTGGGAATCAACAAGGGTACTCAGCCAGCCAGAGCCAGCGAGGACCAGCCTTTGCGACCCATCGAACCAAGTCGACGGTCGAGAGAACAAACGGACCTGGGGATGCGGTGGACACTAATCGTGGCGAGCGTCGTTTGGGGTAAGTCCCTTTGTTAATAGACTCATCCCAGATTTAGAGTAGTGGCTGACTTTTAGATTGATTAAGATTCTGTCGTTTGGGTACAGTTAAGAGACGGAATTGTGTTACAATAAATGTTAAGGAATATACTCTCTGGTTTAATGAATTCTAGAACCTTACCATCCCCTACACAAGAATAAGTAGCGACGCGCTTACGCCGACTCCTCTCTTGTCGCTTAGAGCGAATATTGAGAGATTATTTGGCTGCCGCGCCGTCGTCCGCTTACAATATTTTAGAAGTCCGAATGAAGCGCGTCCTGGTTTTTTTTAATAGTTTAAGGTGTAACCAACCGTTTTTCCAACCAAAAAATTAAATTTTAGTGTTTTATTTTATTTTTATATTTTTTAATTATTCAATTTTATATTTTTTCTTTATTTTTTCTATATTTTTAAATTATTTTTTTATATTTGTTATTATTATTTTTTAAATATGTTTTGTTACAAAGTGGGGTTGTGATCGGTAGAGGTGGGAGTAGGCGGAGGCGGAGGCGAAGGCGGGTTTGCCGTTAGACCCCATGAAGGTGAGTTAAGGTGAAGGTAGAAAGAATAAGGTGGAGGCTGGCCCAGAACCGGCCTTTATTATCCTACTTGCTGTAATGTGGAATTTTTCTTTTTTTTTGGAAGCAATAGACAGCAGAAAACATATCTCAACCGTTTGATCCTGCGCTAACAGTAGAACGCTTGCGAAAGGAGGAGTTACAGGAAGCGAAAAAGTATCCGAGATTGTTTTTTACTATAAAAACAACCACTAACATCCCGACCCACAACATTATTGTACTGTTAACACCAGATTCCGTATCTCTTTTTATAAATAAAATTTCTTTTTTAAAGAAGCTTTTACTCTAACTAGTTGACTTTTTTATCTCAACTAACAACCTTAATTAATTGAAAGATATTAATTGGTCAAGCGGACCACGAAACTAGTGAACTTTTACTCTAAGTTCATTTAATTACCGACACTTTTCACTTTTATTAAAGAATCTGGACTTCTCAAATCTACTCTGAAGATGGCGAAATGATATACCAACAAAGCGACTCCACTGCTGATATTTTTCTACAAATTTGTTAGAAAATCATAAAATTGCTAGATCAATTATGGAAAAGTTGAGTACTATAAATATTCTTTCGTGATTTAGTATTTTTGTTTGTCCGGCTCTGAAAACTAGAACGCTTAACAAGTTTACTGGCACACAACGATTCTAAAATCCATTAACAAAATGAACCACATATTTTGAACAAGCTAGTAAATTAAAAGTATTGTAGTAGTGCCACTGCATCATACACAACGAAAAAAATATTGCCTACTAGACACAAAATACAGGGTGTTAATAATATATTATGGTTTATTGTAGTATGTAGGGAAACGGTAGTTTTAAAATGGAAACATAAAGAATTACATATATTTCTATTTAGTTGTTTTTCAATTTTCCTATGCCGAATCTAGGGATAGTCATATTTCCTTAAAACCCCAAAATAGTTTTGATCTTTAATGACACACATGGAAATGATTTTTCTTCCACCTGTGCCTATTTCCTCTTCAGCTTTCTCTTTTAAATGTATTCTTAGTTCAGACATATCTATTTTTATCTCTTATTTGTCATGCTCGTGTGCCACTGATGATGGTTGGGGGGCTATCGAGTATTGCCGACAGTCCACTGGTAGTCGATTGTCCATCATAGATGGTGACTCACCCGCTTACTCTATGCCCCACGGGCAAATAGCAGGGCGGACGAGTAGTATACGTCCCATTAATGGTTGATGAGTGAGGAACGGTGAAATGAAGTGAACACTTGCATAACCACTCCAGTTCCTTGCCATGTGGCAAAGGGGGCAACCCACTTGTTTACCTTGTGATGATACTGACTGGGACAGGTGGACCTCCAGCTGGAGAGACGGGTCGTACTGCCTGTTACCCACAGAGGATTCACTGAAAACACAAGGTAAACAGGGCTGACCTGAGATGTTGGGTGCAACCCGAAGAGGCGTGCCTTCAAATTTTCTCGAGGGGGTTGATTTCAGGAAGTGTTGTTTGACGGAGACTCCTACCTCTCCATCTATCCAGAGGATCCCTACTCATCCTGTGAAAGGGAACACGGTGACGTTGGTTGGCATATTTTATTGTATTGTACTTGCTGACTGCCGAACTATGTACACTTGCACATCAGACAATTTTCCCACATCCACCTTGTGCTGTCGAGGTCACCCAGGCGTATTGTTGCTTGCACGGTGGATGGCATCCATCGGGAAGCAGTAAAGGATCCGGGGTGAAAATCATCCCCCCCAGCTTCGTGACAGGGGGCACCACGTCAATTTAGAAACGCTTCTTCGAGTACTGAAAGCGCCAGACAAAACCCTATGTTGGGGGAGGCTCATCGCTCATGCCAACCAATAGACTGGCCGTTCTAGTGCGTTTAATGTATCCCTTGCTCTTGAGGTCTGCTGAGGGCCAGGATGTATCTTCTCAAAAACACGGCAATGACTTGTCCTGGGCACACTGGCGCAAAGAGCAAAGAGGGTGCTACTACGTGCTTGATGTAGATATACGGACCATTCATTTCGAAGGTAGAAGTCCTTCACTGTAAACTGCTATAGACCGACATGGTCTTCGGGTGCGGTCTATAAAGATTGCGCCATTATTAGAGTTTAGAGTCCGCAAGGGACCACTTGTTCATCCTATGTGTGCTATTTTCCTTCGTGATATAATTTATTTTGGCGTTTTCAGTGGGTATGATTGAGGTTAGGTATATAAATCTGTCAGTTCCCTGAAGCAATCTGCTAACAGCTCCATGCACTGCATTCTTCGTTAAAATTTGTCGCCACCCTTGCATATTGTCCAAACACCAATAGTTAATGCATGTTTATGGTTGCATTGTGTATTCATTGTATTTTTTGGCGAGAATGGTTGAGCGTGTGTAGGCGAGGTGACCGAGTACCTCACAGAACTGGAGTAATCTAGGTTAATGTATGTTTGCAGTATGCACGAAAAGGCATAGGTAATATGACAACCCGGCGACCACCCCTCATGTGTGGATGCATTTAATGGTTGGTTATGTGTCCAGTTAGATTAGTTATTACTATGAATTCACGGAGTATGACAAGCGGGTGAGTCACCGAGTAATGTTAAATTACACATTAATACATGTGGTTTGAAAGGTGCTGCTATGAATGTATTTATTGACATGAATGATGGGAGGACGGCTAGTGTACCAAACTGCCGGCCATTCAAATATAGTTTTTCATACGGTATGTTAGATATTTTGTATTAGTTTTAGGGGGTTAGTCATTAGTAGTATTTCAGTTACTCTGATCAACCAAATTAGGTCATTTTTTATAGAAGCATGAATGCACACTGTGAGGCAAAAAAAGTGGCCACCCTTAATATTTTAAATTATCTCTTAAACCATCTTCCAATGATTATCTTACTATAATATTTGGTCTGTTTTAAAGGATTAGAGTAAGTAAAACAAAGAAAAAATATCTCACTTGTGTTTACAAATGAATTTTGTACATAAATCTTCGAATAGCCAATCTCTTCTTTGTTGGTTTTCCAGAAAAGCTACTTTGTAACGTTCCGGAGGTTTGATATTTTTAAATTTCACATTTGTTTGAGTGATGTTTTTACGTGGTACAGCGGTAAAGTATGCTTCTTTAATAATTAAGAAAGCATAGACAATTGAGAATAGCAAGATAATTGTCCGTCTTGAGAAAGGATAGAAGCTGAAACGATGAAAGTACAACTAGTAATTGAAATAGCTAAAAAACCGAGAAGTCTTATGACAAAGTTAAAACTTAACGTAAAAAGAAATCGTTCTCCTGCATTATATTAAAAGTACGAACCATCGATTCATTTCAAGTTAGAGAATAATTAAATTCTGCGCAAGTTTGAAGTGTATCGCCTCGGGTCTCTTACTAACATCAAGAGCTTGTAACTTTTTGGTCAATATTCCCGAAAGACTTTTATACTTAATTCGACCCTTTACCTAAAATAATCTTACTCCGGGCACTTTTCCTCTTTTGTATAATCTTGAAGATGAGAAATCCTCACTGTGATAATAGGCCGACCACCCCTGAACCTTTAAAGGCGTTACTCCGTTGTCAATACATGTTTTGGTCGTCCTTACTTTTCCCGTATTTGCAACTCGAGTTAGAGATGCCCTTTCCAGTAAATCAATGCTTCCATTTACCTTCGGCTGAGTCGACATAAAAGGCCAATTCTCCAAATGGCCCCTTCCGATTCGGGAGGAGAAACATCGTCTTTACAGCTGTAAAAGAGGAATTTTCCTTTGTCGTCGATTGTTCAATGAGCTCTCTTGTTTATTGTTGTTGGTTAAATCAGATAGTATGAAATCGTTGTCAAGCTATCGAATAGCTGCAGATCAAGGCGAGGTTGGGGACAAAACAATATACTCTTTTTGAACATCTGGAAAAAGTTTATGAAAGGGCAAAAAAGAAATATTCGTTTAAGCCCTATGAAAGTAAAAGTAATAGCAATGAAACTAGCTATTAACGCATTCTTCTTTCATCATCTCAATGACTTACGAAATCTATAAACCTAAGGCTCCAAAATAATTTTAATTAATATTGTTCCACTGTAAGTTATCGTGATAGTAGATCGATCGAAACGTTCCTTCGAAGCTATACCATGCCAGCTGTAGGAAGTAAAAAACTCAATTTTTATTTCGGATAATACAATTTAATTTAACATTATAGACATTTTTTGCTTGGTATTTTCTAATACTTTGATCTGATAACCAAAACAACGAGGATAGGCAGACCAAACTGTTTATCATACCGCAGAGCACAAGAGATCTCACGATGTAGTTATTACTGTATAAAAATAAAATAACTACTATTCGGTGAACGAATCTAAAACCTCCAATCCTGGGAAATCACAATCTAACAATATTGATAAACGGATCTCTCACGTGCCCCGAGATCCCTAAAGGGTTTGGGCGGGTTTATTTAAAAGTACAGACTGCGAGGGAGGAATTAACCTATGAACTCAGGTGACGGGTGTCACGGTATTTGACTCTAAACCAGATTATGACTCTAGACTCTGACTCATTCTGTCTTTCGTATTATCTGTTTCTCACTGACGGCCTTAGGTACAGGATGGGATTTGCCATGGATGACGAGACCTTAGAGGGCATGGATCTCTGTTTTTTGCTGACGAGGTTGTGCATGCGACCTGGAGAAGTGGCGGATCCCTGGTCTTTTCTGACGAGGTTATGTTTGAACCTTGGTAGGTGGCGGACCCCTGGTTCTTGCTGGCGAGGTTGTGTACGTGACCAGGGATGACGTTGACTCCGGGGTCCTTGCAGACATGCAATCTGAGACGGTGGTAGCTCCACGGTCTTACAGACGAGGTGGTGTGTTTGACTTCGGGTGGCGAGCCCTCTTCTCGTCAGCCTTGCTAGTGCCACGGGTGCGGTGCGACAATACCTTGTGAGATTCCCCTCTGTGGTCTGATGAACTTACCATTTGGACATTACCGATCATCATGGTGGAGACCCAGATGAGGAAATGTGTCGTGACGACTAACTAGGACGATCAATAGCCATCAAATTTCAGTGGGTGCCAGGGCATAAAAGACTTTTAAGATCAAAAACCTATAATCGGGATAAGACCAAACATAGAAACCTCTTTCTCAGAATCTACACATAACAAAAATGAGAAATATACAAACTCTATATACATAGTAAACTCATGGTTACAGAACATTCGCCAAATTTGGCAGACACATCGTTACAGCTGAACAGGGCAAAACTGAGAAGATTGTGCTCTATACCG